TTTTCACAGATATGCAGCTATATGAATTCTTCAAAAATAATTTCCCAGAGAAAAATCTGATGCACGTTTAATGTTGACAAAGTTGCCATCTTTGTTCAAAACTTATTCAGATACAACACCAAGCTTCTGACTCTAGCTGCCCATGTCTTTAGTCTTGCCTGCCATAACTTGATAAGTGCTCCTTATCAACTTGACCCACAAAAGACTGTTATTCCAATGCTTTCTCCAATAGTACTCATGCCAAGTTTGAAGGGCACAGAGCAGTGGGTTACATCCAGGATGGTCAATGAGTCCACTAAATTTATTTTACTTGAAATAAATGACTTATTATATTTAGGTATTTTTGTTAACTTCTACAAACAGATACTCAAAGGGGGAAGATAGCATCTTGTATAAAGACAGTTTCCCAATCTACCCATTTGAATTGACTAAAACAATGGAATAAACAAGCCAGAACTTTTGCAAACACTGAAAGGAGTGTGTTTGGAAAGGATGCGATGGTACAGCAGCTACTAGTTATACACACACACACACACACACACACACACACACACACACACACACATATATATGTATATGTATATATATGTATATGTATATATATGTATATATATGGGTATGTATATTACATATGTATACATATATATGTATGTATGTATCTTATACATATATCCTTATACTTATAAAACAAAAAAAGGAAGAATAATATTACAGCATGACATGATGTTGGCAAGTATGAGATTCTTCCTCCTGAATCCCCTGACTTATTAGCCTGTACTTTAGGGTATCTGAGAACACTTTCAAGAGGGGGAAAAAGAAAGAAAAAAAAGGCACTTAACGAAGACAAAGGCCTGAACTGAGCGTGTTTTAGAGGAATAAGCATTTTACCAGAGCTAAGAAATGATTTACAGAGAGTTAAACTTTTCCCCTTAAATTTTATAAAATAAAATTGCAGAACATGTTTGTAATCATTTACCTACTACTGCATTTTTCTTCTGCTTATTACAAAAGCAAAAAACATAACAAAACAATCATACATGCACAAGAGAAAGTAAAAGTGCCCCTTTTGAGAACATATGGTCAGCAGAAACTATAGTGCTGAAGCACAAGGGAAAGTTCTCAAGTTTGGCCTGATTATAGATTTTTCTCACTCTTCTATTTCTAATTTAAAACAAAGCAAAACAAAACATCAACGAACCAAAAAGGCAAACATAAATTCAAAACCTAAGTGATAATAAAAAGAATACAGGGACCAACCAGTGTGCTTTTACGGTACACTCCTAAAATAAAGTATCCTAACTCTATACATGGGTCAAGTTATATGACAAAACCTCCTAGAAATGAAGAACTGTAAATTAGATTAAAATCGACCAATACAGGCAAAGTTCATGTTACAAATGTAGCAGCAAATATGATAGATAACTGGAGTTCTAAGAGATGATCCCAAGGGACATAGAGTTCTCACAATCAATGGCAGTTTGATTAACAGCAGAATTTCCATTTCAGAAAACGTCTTGAACCAAGTAGAGGTGGAAAGGGGAGTGGTAAGGGCAACCGGAACAGACTTGACCTGTCTGCCCTTTCCAACCCTGGGTAGTAAACAATTTAGGTCTGCTTTGGAGGGGGTGGGGTGAGGTGGGGTGGGTGGGTGGGGATCCTGGGTTAAAAATCTTTCCCAATAAGTTGTTTTCAAACAGGTGTCAAACCCACAGTATCCAAACATGTATGTGCCCGGTTCTTCCTCCTACCTCGGTGATGCAATACACCCTATTCAACTTCTAGGATATAAAAAAATGTAATTTGGGCTAACAACATCCATCAAAGGGGTGGCAGGCATGACAGAATGTACTAACACAATCCTCTGATTTCCTCAGAATATCGGGATTTTGTGACTTCAGATTAACTTCACTTCTTTTTCCAAAACGTTTTTCTTCAGGCTGTTTTAAAACCATGATTTCTTTTACACTTGGATTTGAGAAGCATGTGAGAAAGAATTAGAACTGAGTTATAGTGGAATTATTGCTTGCATTGACTTTGGAGGCTCTGAATGAGCTTGACACTTTGCTCCCAAACAGTCTCCAACTGAGGCTCAGCACTGCCATCTCTGAAGACAACTCTGCTGACCGTTATTGCTTGTGAATACTGAGGATTAACTTGTATGTACAGTAACAGCTTATACATCAGCGAAGGCAATTTAAAATACACGACAGTTGAAAACAAAACAGCTTAATTTTCCTGAATCAAGAATCCCGCTGAGTGGGACATAATTAAGTGTGCTGATTATTTTTGCATTGGGATGTTGCTAATGCTCTTCAGAAATACACATTGCTCTATATCCTTTCCAATTACTCACCGTTTTAAAAAATAACACAATTTGACTTTTAAGTGCAAAAATACAGTATGAGTCACAAGTCTCTGTGCTAAAAAATAACCAATTTATATGGTTGTATTTAGTAAGAAAAACTGTAAAGACAGGCACCCATAAAGTATGGACACCATTTTCAATGTTATGATCTAGAAAAGAAACAGTTCTGTATTTACATCTAGGAGCTCTCTGGTCATACTTATCTATTAAGAAATATAAAGATGTTTGTTTCATTTGTACAACATAAAAGGGTCGTCTTGATTGAAATGGACGAAAGTTAGTGAAAATGTGGTGGGGGGCTGGGGGGGGGGGGACCAGGTAGCAGTCCTCAAGGAATCAAGAGTGAAGAGAACAGAATATCATCTCCATATACATGGACTTTTCAGAGCCAAGAGCCTTCAGATAATTTTAATGGTTAGTTATAAAATAATACTTGGGGGAAGAATTGATAATCCTGTTCTTCTCTAATGACAACCAAGAATTGTCAGGGATCTTCACATAGCATGATTCAGAACTGATGGATTTAAGAAACCGAAATTATTCCCTGACTTACATTAGTAGTGAATTTATATATAAATAAATCTTCATATGCACACAGATGAACACGTACACAATTATCAGCAGGAAGAGAGATTAGTATGCACTGTGACTTCTCTCCTGGTGTGGGAAGTAAAACAAAGGTTATTGCTTCCCAAAGGAAAACTCCCATAGAGTATTAGCAAAGACTTCTTTTTCCAAATTAGATAAAAGCAACAGGTATACTACACTCGAATAACTCAAGAATTGGGTAAGCTTCCCTAATTTAAAAAACCAAACAACCTTTCATTAAACATATTTGATTCAAGTCAAGCCTCGCTGCAACATCCCAATATCCTTCCAACTGGGGTTGATACAACATTCTTATGTTTTACTGGTAAACTAAATTCTTAGGGGCAAGTAATTATATCAGTGATTCCTTTGAAATAATCCTTTCCCCTTACTGTAAAAAGTTCTTGGAACTAAAGCTTTCAGTTACTTATTAACTTGTTGCTATGAAGCAAGCCAATGTGACTTTGAAGTCAAAATATAGGTATACAGATCTGAACAGATCCGTGGTAATTTATTCACAGTCCTATAGGCTATTTGGGACTTGTGCTTGTAAAAGGAAAAAAGGGCCAGGTTAATACACTTATTTGAAGAAATGTAAGGGTATAGGGTGACTTGTAATGAAAAAGGATGCAAATCTTGCTACTATCAATTTCATGCTGTTTTTTAGGTCAGTCTATTGTTATAAATGGATCAAGCTTACACCAATCATGGGTATAGTTTGAAAACATTCAGAAGCCTAAATAGGGAGAAAAGGAGACAAGACCAAAGGTGAGGGGAAAAAAAAAAAATCAAGTCAAATATATTCAAAAAGAACCATAAATTTCTCCCTTAACATCCTTTGTTGAGTATGTATTTGCATAAGGAAGCCATAAGAACTAAGCAGTTTTGTTATCCCGTTATCTGCAGCTTTACTCACATATCAATATTCTCAGTAAATATTAATAAAGCTTTAAGATCCCAAATGCTCCAAATCAATTTCACTACACTGGATATAGGGAGTAAAAATACACTGTGATTGTTATAAAAAATAATCCCTTATACACATAATGATCCTAATGTAATTCCTCCCTTTAAAATACTATCTTAAAAATTCCAAAAATATATATATGCCATTTGAATGACCAATGAAGAGGCATGTGTAGTACACACTCACGCCTGTCTCTGTCAACAATTAAGAATCACCTGAAGTACCACTAGCTACAAGACCAGGAGAAGTTGTGAACCGAGGTGCGGCTGGGGAAGTTTACAGTTCAGGGTGTTGGGCCTGCAGGGGCTAGGAGCACCGAAGTCGCAGCCCTACGTCAAAGATCCCCATTTCTGAAGAGTCACATTTTAACATCAAGAATGGAAGTAAGAATTAACCAGTCAATACCAGATGCACAAATCACCTGAAGGAGAGTTAAGTACCTGCTTCTGAATGGAAGATGAAATTGACCCTTTTACAAAAAGGGGACATCTAAGTTTGTCTGTTAAGAGCAACAGGCTCAATTTCTTCGCTTTTAAAAATCTTGATGATTTAATAATATGTATCACTGTGCTAAAATAACTTTCCTGAAACATCTTTAGTCCACTGATTTACATGGGGGGTTGCTACACACTGGAGAAGATTCAAGTTTGTTCAGGACTTGTGAGAGTACAGTATTTCCTCAGCTACTGTCTGGATCAAACACAGGGTCATTAATTTTGTTGTGTGGCAAATTTGCTGCATAGTCCACTCAGATAAACATGATTGTTACTCCTGACAAACTGGCCTAATTCCAGATAGACTGCCTTTTATTATGCGATTATGTCTACAAGTGTTCAGATCCAACCCCCAGGATGGATGGAGTTTACCCAAATCCTCAGATTCCTTCTTTCTCCCCCGGGGAAAAAAATCAAATTTGTACTTCTGTGGGTTTGACAACTGAGTCTCTTTCAAGTCAGTTAATATGGTCACTTTGTCTTTCTTTAGAGGAGACCACAGGTCACTAACTTTGCACGAAAGCATTTCTTCCTCCTGCACCTGGCTTGACTCAAGTAATGTTCTCTTTTCTTTTTTCCTCCTCACCACAGTGCTTGGGACGAGAGAATGTAAACATCGACAGAACAGCAGCCCTATGACCACATGAGTACTTTCCCATCAGGTAGATTCCATCAGCCAGCTGAGTGTCTCATCTCCATTGCTCGCTGGGAAGTCACTGAGATTTCCGTGGTAATTTAGTGTCCCCTTTACTTTGGCCTCCATCTGAGAAAAGAGATGTTTAATTGGGCTGTGTCGGTGTGTTATAAAAATACATATTAAAAGCAAACAAAGCAATGAGAACAATTAACGTTTAATTTCCACGCGAAATGACACTGCTAAAAAAGATAACCTTTAATAATTTACATGCTATGCATGGCATTACAGAGGTTGAGAAACATAAGAGAACTCAACAAAAAAGATCCTCTTAAGTCAAATGGCTGTGGTTCGATTGGTTTTCAGCTGAAATACTATTATTATCCACCTCAGAACCCACTGTGTCAAATGCTATGAGGATCACAAAGGAACATAAAAGACATAATCCCCACCTTCAAGGAACCTACCACATCTTTTGATCCCTTTAGAAGACTAAGTCAATTTCACTTTCTTGCAAGTGAAATTAAATTCCTTGCCATGACATAGCATTTGATAATTAATTCTCGATTATTTATGTAAATAAATGGGATACACTGGTAGTGAAAAATCCAGCTGAGTCTTTGTTTTGGTCCTAACCTGGCAAAAGTTGTAAGTGATAGGAAAGTCTGCTAACTGGGAACAACGGTTTCTAGTTTTACATGTGTGTTTTGTTTTGTTTTTTAATGTTCATTTATTTTTCAGAGAGAGAGGGGGAGAGAGAGAGAGAGAGAGAGAGAGAGCGCGCGAGCAGGGGAAGGGCAGAGAGAGAGGGAGATACAGAATCCGAAGCAGGCTGTAGGCTCTGAGCTGTCAGCACAGAACCTGACGCGGGGCTCGAACTCAAAACCATGAGATCATGACCTGAGTCAAAGTCGGACGCTCAACCGACTGAGCCACCCAGGTGCTCCTTACATTTGGTTTTTAACTTTTAATTGGGAAAATATTGATTATTGTATGTATTTATTTATACACTGATTTATTTCTTAAATTTTAGTTAGTTGATCACTCTATTTAAAATGGGCAAGACTAGGGGCACCTGGGTGGCGCAGTCGGTTAAGCATCCGACTTCAGCCAGGTCACGATCTCGCGGTCCGTGAGTTCGAGCCCCGCGTCGGGCTCTGGGCTGATGGCTCGGAGCCTGGAGCCTGTTTCCGATTCTGTGTCTCCCTCTCTCTCTCTGCCCCTCCCCCGTTCATGCTCTGTCTCTCTCTGTCCCAAAAATAAATAAAAAACATTGAAAAAATAAATAAATAAAAATAAAATGGGCAAGACTAGAACCCAGTGACCTTAAGAGCCAACAAAATACAGAGAAAGTTTAACAAGGTACTGCCTTAGCAAGGACAATGAAGCCTCCCACTCCTAAGCCTGAGAGAAAAAGGCAGGGGGAGGCATGAATGGCAGAGACACACAGGTGAAAAGGAACAAATTGCCGTATTACAAGATCAACCTTAAGGCTGGAGGAGACCATATGTCACACTGCTAGGTTCATTCACGTGGTATCTAAATTACTCTGGTAAAACATAAAACAAAAAACTGCCTCTATTGAAGAAACTGCCTCTGTTGTATCAATGAGAGAGGATGATTGTTTCAAAAGCTGTATAAATAGGACACTATTAAAATAACTTTGGTGACAACATCTAAGGAATTGGTTTTTCCATTCATAATGAGATATTATGTACTTGTGTTTGCAGAGAGAATGATGTGACCTAAGGTATGATTAAATTCATAAAATGGCAAGGAAGGATTGTGCTCAAAGCAGCTTTGGGAAACTACAAAATAAAATACTCATATTAACTGGACTGTGAGATTGTCTAGACCAAGGTTTGGCCCAAGGGCCAAATGTGGCCCACCACTACTTTAAAAAGTTTTATAGGAACCCAGCCACACTCATGCTACATATTTATCTATGGCTGTTTTCGCACTAGAATGGCGGAGTTGAGTAGTTGTGATAGAGACTACATGGCCTGCAAAGCTGAAAATATTTACTGTTGAGGCCTTTACAGAAAAAGTTTGTATTATATATAAAATGAATATAGAGAAGTTATATTCATTCTCTCAAGGAGCTTGATCTTATGAAGCATGAGATCATGACCTGAGCTGAAACCAAGAGCCAGACACTTAACCAACTGAGCCACGCAGGTGTCCCTCAAAGATCATTTTATTTATTTTTTTAAGTTTATTTATTTATTTCTTTATTGAGAGAGAGAGAGAGAGAGGAAGAAAGAGAGGGACAGAGAAAATGAGCAGGGAAGGGGCAGAAAGAGACGGGGACAGAGGATCTGAAGCAGGCTCTGTGCTGACAGCAGAGAGCCCAACACAGGGCTCAAACTCACAAACTGTGAGATCACGACCTGAGCTGAAGTCGGATGCTTAACTGACTGAGCCACCCAGGTGCCCCTTCAAAGATCATGTTAAATGCAGTGGCCAAAAAGAACAGTGAGATCCCAGTCAACCTGCAAAGTTAAGAGGCCAGTTGAACACTTATTTCTGTTCAAAAGATCCTGAAAATGGCCTTCAAGAATAGTATCAGCAGTCTACTGAGGTCGACTGCTGTTGAAAGCAATAACCTAGAGATCAATGTTATGTCCAATGTCCACTATCTAATTTCAGAGTGATCTAGTTGGGCTGCAAGTGTGTAACGCATACAGTTTGGAGGGTATTAACTGAATTACTGCTAAAAGGCAGAAAGGTACCAAGTCAGACTTCCCAGATTTGTATCTCAGATCACTTAACTACTGTAGCACCTTGGGCAAGTTGCTTATCTCTAATTCAGTTTCCTGATCTATAACAATGGGGATTGTTACCAGCACACTCACAGGTGTTGTAAGGATTAAATTAGCTAATACATGTCAGTAGTCACAAGACTAACTGGCACTTAGTAAACCTTCAAAATGTGAACTATTGCAACTACTGGACGTGACTTTTGTACACTGTTTTATGAATCCTCTTCTTCGTTATCATTTCAATATAACAAATACCTTCAACATGTTTTCTTCAGGGGCGTATGGGTGGCTCGGTGGGTTCAATGTCCTACTCTTGGTTTCGGCTCAGGTCATGATCTCACGTTCCTGAGATCAAGCCCCATGCTGGGCACCGTGCTGGGTGTGGAACTTGCTTAAGATTCTCTCTGTTCCCCTCTCTTTGCCCCTCTCCCAGTCGTGCTATTCTGCTCTCAAAATTTTTTTTTCTCCACATGTAACAAAAGGTCTCTTTACCGATTTCCTCTCCTTACAAGGAGTTTGTTGCTAATGAGGATTCAGTCATGTGAAATCTGTTTTTTCCAACTTTTGTCATCCCATTTAGTTTCCAGAGATGTTTAATCCAATCTATAAATCTATATAAATATTATGAGATGAAAAAAATAGGTGGCTTTCTTACCATTGAATGTTTGCTGTAAATGTGTAGGCAGAGGTGAGTGGGAAAGTGTTGCTGCATGCTGAGCTCCTGGCTGTAAACCCTTTAGTAAATCTGGGAGAAAAACAGAATTGTCAGTGATCTTCTTCAATCTAACACTTAAGCCCTCTTAGATAAAAAATGAAAATAGTTTAATTTATATAACGTTAAGCATAGCCCCTGATTTCAAAGTCCTCCTTAGAGTACATACATTGAAAAAATGTACATATATAAATACGTACATGCAAATAACTCAGCAAATTTGACTGCCTCTTATAAATTTCATTAAGACAGCAATGTGGTATAGATGGTTCATTTAAGAACTGTAAATAAATTCTGAGTCCACCAATTTGATTTATTCTATATAAATGAAATTAAACTGCATTTCTTAAAGAAAATTCTGTAATCTTCACTAACTCCAAATGGACTACTCTCAATCAGTATAAATTCATGAGTTTTCCCGTTCCGTCAAACTACGTAGGCAAGTAACTAAAAGAGCCCCACTTACTCTGAGTTAGGCTATGGTGGAAAGCGGCTGAGGTAGATCCCGAGGTGGTTGTCACTCCAGCTGTGTCCGTTCCAAAGCCAAGTAGCTCCAAGGGAAACTGGAAGGGCATGGTCACTGGAACAAGGCCACCCAGCATCCCAAAAGGAGTCACATTTTGATTTGTTACAGACAAAGGTGATGTCATGAGAGTCAGAGGTGAGGCATTAGCCAATAATGATGCTCCTGCTGTGGACTGCAGAAACCAGGGGTCAAAATACATAAGAAATCAAATCTTTAACCTGAATTGATTTATTGTACTTAATATCCTCATGGGCGCAAGACTGTGTCCTAACTCTACTCTAACAGAAACTTCATGAGACAGAAAATAAAGACCGAGGTGAAAAGTATATTTCTAAGGGCTACCATATTGGTTTTGGAAATAATTCTCTACTCAGCTCTTCATCACCAGTTTAGATTCCTTGACTTATTTTAATGTCTATATTAACATGTCTTTCTCACCTCAGACTTCTACTTTTGCTTCTAAACCCTAGATGTGAGCCACTCACTAGCCATTAATTTCATTCAATTTCAATATGATCTTTGAAAATGACTGGTAATTTCATTGTTTTACCACCTTCCTGACACAATCCCCATGGTTATTGTTCCAGACTAGGATTCTCTCAGAGCCCCTAATGCAATACCATCTGCTTTCATCATAAAGCCTTAAAGAAATGAGGCCATCCCAGATGTTCTTCCTCATCATTAGCCTTACCTGTCTCTTCTCCAAGCCTAACCATCTGACCATGCCATGAATCCCACCTATGCAGAACTTTCTGGTACAAATATCTAGTATTACGCCTTTCCCCATGTTTCCTCTGCTTTGTCACATACAGAGTCCTCATGTTTTTGTTTTTTTGTTTTTGTTCTGTTTTGTTTATAACCACAGCTATCCCTGGCTCTTCCTCAACCCCTAGAAACAACCTGACCTATTTGTACTCCTTTTGTTATCAAATTTACTAAATGATACCCTCCATTTCCATATTATTTAGTTTCTCCTTAACCCCTGAAAGCTGGTTTCCATTTTCACTACTTTTCTCAACTTAAGACTCCTTAAGGTAAAAAGGTGTTTTAATACTCCTCTGCCTGGGCTTTGATGCCATGTTTATGAAAAACACATTTAAATCTGAAATATGCAAGCAGTAATTAGCTTTCACTGAGAAATTACTTAAATATACTTCATTAAGCTAATTTAATTCTTTGAACAATTTTCTATTCAGCAATAATCTGTCCCCATTTTGACTCTCTTTTCTATATGTACTTATTAACAAAAATTACAGTAAATTTTTTTCAGTATCAGATATTATTATAGTTTCTGCAACTGTGAATTTTCTTTTGTAGTCTTATCTTTACCGATTCTAAGTTTCCCTGGCCAAAAATTTTACGGTTCTAAATTTAGTCAACAAAACTGAATTCTTTGAATATTTTTTAGTCAGTAATCAATGTTAACTATTATCAGGTTTATCTCTGTGTTAACTACTCTTGCAGTAAACATTACTAATTAATAAAGGGGCTGATCTATTTCTTAGTTAATCCATGAAAAATCCATGTAAATGATCTCCCCATACTTATATGCCAATAACATAGATTGATACACCAAATGTTCCATGCCAGTGCTCTAAACAAAAAATGAAGAATATCCTCAAGAAGGCTTCAATTCTAGTTTTACAACTCTTTCTCCAACAGCCTTCCCTTCTCTTCTTTGTTAGCTCTCAAACTTACATCCATAGTTCTGACTTTGTCACAGTTTCAATCTTGTAACTCTAAAAGCTCAGTGAGGAATGTCACTTGGATATGGAACACTCATCAACCACAACTGAACTCATCAGCTCCTGCAATCATGCGACCCCGCCCTATTTGTCAACAGCTATCATTAATTGTCTCATTCTTTCTCAACACTCAGGCTTGAAACCTTAGTTTTTAGGCATCATAAAATAACAAGACAAGATGAATTCATTGTCAACATACTCATTCTTTTTCTTAAAAAAAACCTTTTTTTTAAACCACCAGTTCCTCCAACACTTCAGTACAAATCTCCATCATTTTTGCTTGGACTTGGCTATTTTTCTTATTTTCAGGTCTTTCCCTTACTGAGCCAACCATGATATACAAAACAGATACAATTTGAAAGAATTACTAAGTTAGAAATAACGCTTTGAAGCAATTTGGATTGAAGGGATCCTGCATCAATTTAAGAATAAGAGTTCTTAAAAAAAAAAAAAAAAGAATAAGAGTTCTTTTTTAATCATAATTCTATTGTAATCCCAGGATAATATGGTGCACACACTCCAATACCGTTTGCCCCAAGTAAACCCCGTAGTAAGGAACATTAGATACTGCTAATAAGGAGAACTCAAGCTTTTCTAGAGGAGGCTAACTGAAGTATTAAAATAGCTGGAAAGTGTAAATTAGAGCAACTTCCAAAATTAAGTAACTGAGCAATTGAAAATGATACCATGCCATAACTAACATTTTGTGCTTTCAAAAAACTTTGATATCCACTTTTGTTTCTAAAATTAAAATGAAACATCAGATTATCTTAATGTTACATGGCATTTATAAATTTCTCTCTCTTATGAGATGGAGACCTTTCAAAAGTTGGGTATCCTATCGTTATGATTCGGAAGCATATAGGAGAAGTTGTCAACATAAAACAGGCAAATGTAAATCGGCAAAGTTCAGGATGATGCTCCATAATCAAAAATACTTCCATGACCTCCACATTTTATTTCCAGGAGAAAATATAAAAGAAAACCTTGCTCTTCCCGTGGTGGGCATTATATATATTATATATATAATATTATATATATATATAAATTTATAATATTATAAATATTATATATATATATAATTATATATATAATATTATATATATATAATAATATAATATAATATTATATATATATGAAATATATATAATATTTTTTAACTGCATGTTTTTTTTTGGTGAGTGCACCAGTGCCCCCCCCCCCCCATTCTCCATGACACCCAGTGTAATCTTTTGGAATATAAATCAAACCATACCACTCCCCTGTTGAAGACCCTCCAAAAGCTTCCCACTGAACACATTAACACCCCAAGTTCTCATCGTGGCCTACAAGGTCCTCCATCACATGGTTCTGCTTGATCTCAGATCTCATCACCTCTCCATCTCTCCCTAGTCTAGATGTGCACGCCTACATGTCAGGCTCTTTCCTATCTCAGTGTCTTCACTCTAGTTTGGACTGTTCATTCCCCCCTATCTCCAAATGACTGGCCTGCTTATTCAATTCCCCACTCAAATGTTGCCTCCTGAAAGAGGCTTTTCCCAACTCCCTTATCTATGTTAGCAGCAATCACACTTTATCATATTATTGTTTTAATTTTTCAGAACACTTAAAATATTTTTTAAAAATTTGTGTTTTGTTTCTCTCTCTACCTGGAATATATGTTCCATGAGAAGAGAAATCTTGAGTATGATGTTCACTCTATTTCCCCAGCACCTAGAAGAGTGCCTGGCACATATTAAACATCTCATAAACATTTGCTTAAGGAATGAATTATTTTGGGAATTATAAAGTGGCAAAGACAGAATTCATAGAAAATCGACAGGCTGAAAGGTTAGAAAGAAGAGGAAAGCCTTGAGCAGAAAGTTATTAAATAGAAAGAAGGTAGCAGTGATAATCTGAACCCAGAAAGATTTTAACTTCTGTTAAACTCAGGACCTGCCCTTTTCACTCTGCAAATGAACAGCTAGCTGGAGATGTCTTTCAGACAGGAATTGAATGTTTTGCAAGCACGGATAGGGAATCTCTTTTTAGTATCAGAGCGCTAGAGAAACAGGTCTCCAGAGGCCGCCAGGTTTCAATGAGAGGCTACATTAAAAACAAAAAGCCATCGGTTCTCCCCAACTTACCAACAACCTTATTCAATTACTGACCTTTTCTTCAGTCAAACCAGTAAGACAGAACAAAAAGGGTCAGTCTGAAGGCAGGAACGCTAAGGCCTTCACATCATAAAGTCATTTCAGAAAGGAAGAAAACCAGAAGGAAGCAGTTCTTTTTTGGAAACACAAATTCTGCCATATAGGTTCCCTGATTACAAACCAACTGTTATGCCAAGTATCTAGCTTCTCTCGGGATAAATGATCAAATACAAGAAGGATGGGGGTGGGGGTGGGAAAGAGAACTGATAGACACTGGAGATGACAAAGAATGGAGAAAGATTTAGCTTTAAATTCCTAAGTGAAGGGGGGAAAAAGCGAATTTTTAACTTCAGAAAAAAAGCCAAAAACTTGTAATAAGAAAGCAAATGAAACCATAGTTTATGAGTAGGCTCAACAGAGACAATAGTTTACATGGTCAAAGGCTGTAATTTTACTCTTTCAGGAGAATGGCAAAGGTATAAAGCGAGCTAAAAGCCTTATCATGACAAGAAGTTAAAAGTTAATACTAAAATGAATAAATTGTCTTCATCCATTTTTCATACTTAAAAACACACAAAAACCTAGGGGAATTAAAAGTAACTGACACTAGGAAGGAGTGGAACTGGTATTTCTGTTATAAATCTCTCCTTTACTCAAATTAAAGATTAACATCAAAAAGTAATAAGAATGTGAACTAACTCTCCAGACCTTAGTTTATAACTTGAATTTTAACATGCCATCCCTAATCAGTGTTTGCTAATTTGTGATAAAAGTAAAATTAATAGATAAAACATCAGAGAGTCCAAGATTTCAACTAATGAAGTATCAGTTAACTGAATTTTATTTTTATTAGAATTCTACAATGAATTCATTCCTAGGCCTACAGGGATGGCAGAGTGATGATCTGGGTTTCATTTGTTTATGAATACCGATGCTTAGCTTGTACTGAATAGCAGAAATATTTACAAACACTAAGGTAAACATTCTTTCATTAGATGTTCCTATTCCACATAAACAGGAAGCAGTACTTTTTTAGACAACAGAATTCCACAAATCAATAAAAGTCTTGTTTTCAAAAAACATTTAAGAACTGAAGAACACATCATAAAATGTTATGTATTTTTTAAAAGCTTGTTATGAAACAGATTATGTAAAACCCATTTTCTTGACAAGAATCTCAAACAGTACCCAGAAAATATAAACAGCGGTGGGAAGATGGTGATTTTTCTTTTTTCTGAATTTGCCTACAGTGAATACGTATTACTTCTGGGGACAGGGAACAGGGAGAAAGAATATTAAAGAAATCAAACTGGTCACATGAAGGACAAATCTGACAAAGTCTCAGAATACAAGGAGTGGCAGCAAGACGAAAACAATGACAGAGAAGATGACATGGAAAGGAGAGAGATGAAATATATGAGTGATAAAGAGTTCTCACAAAACCTAGGCCAAATGGATCAGAAAAGACAATGAAACGCATAGAACAAAATATTCCTGAGCTGAAAAAGCCACCAGGTATAAGACTGAAAGAGGTCACCATGTTTTAGGTACAGTTAACAAAACCTTATACATAAATCTAATCATAATCCGAGAATACCTAAATTACAAGTAAAAAGAGAAAGTCTTACTAGCATTTAGGCAGAGAAAACACACATAAGGGAACAAAAAATCAGAATGGCCTCTGACTTCTCCATAATCCTAAATACTAAGCAAAGGTCAGTGGAACAGTACTTGTAACACTGGGAGGGAGACAGCGACCCAAGAAGTCTATACATACTCAAGCGTGATGGCACAGAAATTATCAGGTACGCTAGAGCTAAGGGAAACTAGGTTTTACGTTAGCCTTCTTGAAAAGACTCCTTTCTTGAGTGAGGCACTCTGCTAACTGCAAGATAAATGTAAAGTAAAAACTCACAAAAGGGAAACTGGTATATAAAAGGGTTATTGACAGTAATTTGACAGAGAGAATTATGTATGAATAACTGTTAAGTTTAATGCAAAATAAAAATTTTACTTGAAAAAACAAATGGTTAAAGGAAAAAACCCTGACAAATGTATAAATCTGTCTAAATAAAAAAATCAAAGTTAGCAGGAGAGGAGGGACTAGAACAGGGGAGAAAGGAGACGAGTGAGAGTATATTAAACTCCTAAGTTACGGCTTTGTTCTGGACTTTGACAACATACAGTTTTAAATATTCATACTGTGTGTTTTTCAACAACTGTGAAAGTACGCATGTGCTACTTTACGGGGGGGGGGAGGGGGGAATCCACATCCCAACAGAAACCTCATCTACCAAGTATCCCCATTACTGTGATGTCAACATCAGGAACATGCCTTGGCCATAAGCTGTAAGAAACTATTACAAACAACTTCTGTATGTATATGGTTATTAAACTGACTGAAGAGAACAATCAAACGAGCTTACGTTTTATCACGCGAACACACAGAACATACATACCTGCACACTGGCGGTTACCACTGAAGACCCTGAGGCAGAGGATGGTCTATGTGGAGTAGACAACGGTTTAGTAGCACCCTGTGTTCCACTTCCTGTTCCCCCAGAGAGACTAGTCCTATTGGCTCCGCTTGAGTTAAGGTTGCTACCTCTGCTGGCAGGTACATTCACTGCAATTCCACTCAAGCTATTCTTCCCAACAGTTCCAGTGGGTGAGGAATTTGTTAGCTTTGAAGGGGCCTGAAGATTTTTTGTGGATGGAAGGCCTGAAGTACGACTGGAGGGCAGCAAATTCAAGGTGGGAGACTGTCTGCTGAGGTTTATCCCACTGGGCTGTTTATGGACTGGGTTGTTACTGCTGGAGTGGCTGCTCTGGGCTACTAGTGCATTTGGACTGGAAGAGCTTGGGGGTACAGGAGGCTTGGGAGTTGGGTTGGATTTAGAAATAAGTTTAGTTGATACTGAAGGCTTAGTGGACACAGAGGGCTTGGATGAGGCAGAAGGCTTAGGTGAGGGCAAGGGTTTAGGAGATGTGGCAGGTTTTGGAGATGCGGCAAGTTTGGGGGATGCAGCCATTGAGAAGGGAGATTTGAAACCCTGCGTGGACATCTGTGACACCATAGCCTTGGCTAAATAGTTACTGGAGGTAGTGGTGCTAGGTACTGTCCTAGAAACCAGGGGGTGGGACCCTTGAGAACCATTTCCGGGTGAGGGAGTAGATAAGGGAAGGCGGTACATAAGTGGCTTATCCGAAGTCTTAATAAGCGGGGATGAACAGGAAAGTTGGGGATTATTACTTAATTTCACCACTGGGTTGGTCTGTGATTTACTAATGGTTGCTTGTAATGGAGACACATAGTTTTGTTGGACAGCTGAATGCTGGTGCACCTTTGTTACTTGTGTTAACGAAGAAGCGTCTTGGGCCTCTGATGTTCCCAGAGCGTGAGAGGAGGCAGCAACTTGGGCTTGGGAAGAAGAGGAAACATGGGTCTGTGAAGAGGAAGAAGCATGAATCTGACTCGACCTCTGTAGTCCTTGTTGAAGCAGCCTGGCTGGCAAAGGTTCCAAGGAAACTTTAGGGTTCTGAATTGAAGAACCAGCAATAAGGCCTGAAGAGATGCCAGTATGAGCTAAATCCTGGGGTTTCTTTGGTACCGGCCCTGTGTGACCAGCAATAAGACTTGATGAATGTGCAGTCTGAGAAGAATCTAGTTTTTTAGGAGCAGCCAATGGCAGCTTACTCATGATACTTGCTAACTTTTCTTCTCTCAGTCCTGGACGAGGCTTTGCAGTTGGCATGCTTATCCTTGAGCCAGCCGGAGGGCCCTTGTTCCCATTGTTGATAACAGCTAAAGCTTCAGAAACAAGATCCAGTGCAGGTGGATGGAAAGAAAGGTCTTCGTCTAGTGAGTCATCAAGGCAGATGGTCTCCTGGGCTGGTGTAGAGCTAGAACTGGTAGAGGCCACAGCAGATGTGCTAGAGCTCGTTGAAGGACCACCAACTGAAGCCACCAAGGATGCAGGAGTTTTCTGGTCCTTTTTTGGACTACACTCCTACCATAAACAGCATTATATTGGAAAAAATTAAATGAATTATTAAGTATCAGTTTTTAAAGGACTAAGAAATTCTCACGATGATTAAAATTCCACTGGAAATCTTTATAGACTGTAAAAACCAAAACATGTCTGAGGACAGAGCTCCTGACTGAACTGTGCTCATAAGCCAAAGCATCTGATACATTGCAAACAGCTGCCATACCTTAGTAAGCTCTTCTGAGAAGACTTAAAATTAAAACCAAGCCAAAGGAACGTTCACATACTAGTTACATTATTGGTGAAACCCCGTTCACCCTGCCCACCTACATCAGATCTTCACGTGCTATTCCAAATCCGTCTGTTCAGAGGCTATTCTCTTTTTATTCTCCTTGCACCTAGAAGAAATTCTGCATTTATCCTAAGACTCCACCCTTCTTCTATAGAATGGTTTGCTAGGATACTGACCCTTGCTTTCTGCTTCCTTGTATTTCTGCCCTCTGTATGCCCTGTGCTAGAGCCACCCAGAGCCATACGTAGAGAAAGTAGTTCATCAAACTGGGATTCGTCCAAGCATACGAAATTATGTCTTCTTTTTTTTTTTTTAAATGTTTTTTATTTATTTTTGAGACAGAAAAAGACAGAGCATGAGTAGGGGAGGGGCAGAGAGAGAGGGAGACACAGAATCTGAAGCAGGCTACAGGCTCTGAGCTGTCAGCACAGAGCCCGATGCGGGGCTCGAAACCACACACTGTGAGATCATGACCTGAGCTGATGTCAGATGCCCAACTGACTGAGCCACCCAGGTGCCCCCGAAATTATGTCTTCTATTTATCATGGTAGAAATCATTTGTAATGTATTCAACAGGGTTATTAGAAATTAAAATTCTGAATACCTAAGAGAATATTCTGTTTTTTCAAAAAATTAACCTTAAAATTCAAGTAAGAGAAAAGAGAATTCGAGCACAGTTTATTCTTTTTTAAGTTTATATATTTATTTTGAGAGAGAGAGAGAGAGAGAGAGAGAGCACGCGCATACAGGGGAAAGGCAGAGAGAGAGGGAGAGAGAGAATCCAAAGCAGGCTCCGTGCTAATAGTGCGGAGTTCGACTTGGGGCTCAACCTCACGAACCGTGAGATCATGACCTGAGCCGAAATCAAGAGTCAGACACTTCATCGCTTAACCGTCTGAGCCACCCAAGCACCCCATAAAGCACAGCTTAAAATATTCAAAAAGCAAAAGAATTAAAAAGTAACTGTTTCCCTTAAAAGAGAAATATAAAGTATCTGACTCATGTCATTTTTAAAATTAAGAAGAAATAAAACTATTACATAAAAATCATTTCAAAGTTTCTTTGATTGGTTTCTTAAAAACAAACCCAAATAAACCTAAACCCAAAGTCTTAAATTGTGTATCAATTTATATCACCACAACACTTACCTTAACCACAGTGGGGAAAGAATGGAGAGGAAGTGTCTCTACTATCACCTTCTACTGTATTACAGTAAATCAGCTGTTAAAAATGCTTTAAACTCTAACTTCTTCAGCAATTTTTCTAAGCTGCTACTCCAAAAGCCCTGATTGAAAACCCCACTGCCTCTCAGAATTCTGTAGTATAACCGCATTAAGGTCAAAATTGTTAAGATATGAATGGGTAATGCACATAAAACACGTCTGCTTTGACATGCCATCCATCTAATTGTGATTAGTGAAAATTTCATTTTATAAAAAAGTATAGAAACTGATGATGGGAGAATGTATCAGAATAATACTGGTAGTGTTACCAATATAAAACTGCTTTTTGAAGTAACTTTTTTATTTTTTAATGAATAAACTGGCTTTACTTTCACTGATTTTTAAGTTTTTATTCATTTTGAGACCGTGCACGTGTGAGAGAGAGAGAGTGCACGCACTGGTGGGAGAGGAGAAGAGGAAGAGAGAATCCCAAGTGGGGCTTGATCTCATGATCCATGAGATCATGACCTGAGCCAGAATTAAAGAGTCAGAGGCTTAATCAACTGAGCCACCCAGGTGCCCCTATTTATTTATTTTTAGAGTAAGCTCTAGGGCCAATGTGGAGCTTGAACACATAGCCCTGAGATCAAGAGTTGCATGCTCTTCTGAGCCAGCCAGGTGCCCCCAAATTAATTTTTTCTTTATAAAAATAACATTAAATCCACCCAGCAGAGTACTGTGTAAATTTATACTGGCAGAGATAATTGTTCAGGGTATATACTTGAGTCAAAAAGCAAACTATCCCATTTATAAAATGTTAAGTCATATGAATAAATGAACAGGTGTTTGGACGGAGGGAAGGGAGGGTGGGTTTGTACCAGAAAGTAGGAGCTTTTTTTTTTTTTCCTGGATACTTATACTTTTTGATTGTTAGCATTTTCTTTCTTTCTTTTTTTTTTAAAGTAGGCTTCATGCCCAATGTGGGGCTTGAACTCACAATCTTGAGATCAAGAGTCACATGCTTCACCAACTAAGCCAGCCAGGCACCCCTGCATTTTCTAATGTATTTCCTTGTATTATCTTTGTAATTAAAACAGGTATTTGAGGGGCGGTAGGGTAGGAGAAACACAAATCGGCGATATAGTTTTTCCATTTGGGGAAAAGGAAAAAATAATTTAATCACAAAGACACAAACAAGCAAAAACAGGGAATTCCCTATACCATCCTTGTCAACATCAGAATTCTGATAAATTAGTCATATGTTTGAATAGATGTAAAATTAATTTAACAAACACTTTATGAAGGGCATTAGGAGTTTAAAAATAATGTGTCAAAACAAAGCATGAACTCAACAGATGTGATGGAATACTGGCTCACCATTATTTAGATTAGAAGACAAATGAGGTATGTAAGAAAAAGAGGACTATTCGTACTTACAAAGCCTCTAATATTAAAAGTTAAGAAGGCCACAGAGAAGGATGGCCTTCTGGCCATACCTCTTAAGCAAAGAAACTCATCTATTCAAAGAGATGAAGTCTATAGGGAAAGTCCAAAACCTAAATAAAGCGTGTGGGATTTCTCTATAATTTTACTTTTCAAATGATTACAGTTTTCACTTCTAGAGATTATACCTGGTTCTTTTTCAACTGCTTTGTCTGTTGTGATATTTTTTATCCTGTCTTCTCCTTCTTTGAATATTAAGTTAAATTCCTTTATGTTCGAAACCCAGTAAGTCCGTCACTTGGCCCTCTCAGGGATCTAATTCTGTCAGATGTTTCTGCTGACTCTCACTCATAGTAATTCATTTCCTTGTGTAATCTGTATTTTCAGACTGTAAGCTCATGTTTGACACAGTATATATGTGGCAAGCCTTTGAAGCCTGCTATGAGACTGCATTATTTCAAGGGAAATTTGATTTGCCAATTGCCTTGGGTTAATACTAATTCCTTTAAGTTATTTTCAAAGTTTGAGGATTTCCCAGATCTTGCAGGTAGTATAAATTAAACTCCTGAACTCCTTAAATTCTCAGGGAGAACTTCCTTCCCCTAATCTAGGACTCAGGCCAAGACACACAAGTTTCTTACTTTCTGCTGGCGAGTGAATTTTTCTAGTTCTTTCTTTTACCAAAGGTGTTACCCTCTGAAGGTCCGGGTTCATGCAGAGTTTCAGTCTAATTCTTAATCTATATAAGCCCAAGAAAACCCTATCTCCTGTGCTCTGAGAAGAAATTTGAAAATAAATCATAAAGTGATAGATGAAAATCAGCAAGTACCCCAACAGGCAACCAAAGTTTCAAAGACATATTAACACGCTGGTAGCTTCTTTGCGTTGGGCCCTTGGGATTTCTCTTATACATCTGCAATCTCAGCTGTGCTTTTAAAGGACATTTGTTATATTTTATAGTGTTTCTAACTTGTATGAGGTTAAATCTTACAATTTAATTAATGTGTGCAAATTTCCCACTACCACACAGTCATCTATTCTTGGAAATACAGGGGTTCTAGGATTTTTACAAAGTTTAAAAACACTCTTCTTAAGAGTACACTACCTATTGATCTATGATAAATACCATATATCCTTTTCATCTTATGAATGTATTTCAACATTCCTCAATTATGACCAATTAAAGATTTGGTTCAATACTTACCTTCACTTTGGGTTTAGGTGCAGGAATCACCTTTTTCTTTGCCCTAAGACAACAGATTAAAAAGGAGGTCATTTCAGTAGCAATTAGGTCACTCATTATGAAATTCTAATCTTGCCATTACATGGGTAAATAATTTCTTATGCTATTTGGAAAATTCTATGAAGGAACTATACATATGTGTGTATTTATATATGTGTATACACACACTCAGTTTATATATGAATATACAGCAACATTTCCTCCAATTTCAATTAACTGGAAGGCTGAACCATTAGCAAAATATGAACGGTAGATGATAAAAGGTTTTAAAAATTAAATGTAAATAATCAAAATAGAATTGAAAAAATAACTGAAGATAGGGTAACAAAGCTGTCTGAGAAGACCCACTTCAAAGAACTGGTAAGAATAATTATTTATAAGAAAACAGATCTTCAAGAAATCTCAAGCTCAAATTAAACCATAATTTGAGAAGAACCAATGCCAAGAACTTGTAAATAAGGTATTATTTAAAAAAATAAAATTCTCTTTTTTAAAGAAAATTATTTTAATATGAGAATTCAAATAAAAAATGTCAAAATGACAGGAGGATAAAAGGCAAGTAAAATACCATGCAACCCTGGAAACTTTGGGAACCAGTGTGAAAAAGTTTGAAGACAAAAATCTTATGTGTTACATAAGAGGAGAAAGTACCCAAATGTCTGTTGAATAACTAAAGGGTTAACAAGCTAAAATACCTCACACTGAGTATTTCTACTTCACTAAATTGAAATGTCATCCATTAAATTAACAAATATCTTGATTAAAACTGCCAATCTACAACTTCATTAAGGCGACAGTAATTTTCCAAGTTTTTTTGATAAAGACCATTGGGGCAAAAGATATCAGGCCCACACATCCCATAGATTTGTACTTTCCGATACAAAGCAAAACAAGACAAAACAAAACACAAGTTAGTCATAATAATAAAGCCACCTAAAAAACTGAAGAGAGGGTCTATGTAAATATATGCTTTAGATTTAAAGGGATGAATTATTTATACCTGAATTGTAACACATTTGTGATTTTAGAACTATAGGGAAATTAAAGACCAGAAATATTATTGACACCAATACATACACACACATATATATGTACCCCCCCCCCAGGATAATTAAACCACCAGCAACAAAGTAAACCTATGTGTATGAAACCAAACTTATCCCAAATTTATACTCAATAAACAAGAATAGCAAGAACCAAAAACCACAATCAACCCAACATAACTCTGATAGTATACTAACAAAGTGTCCTTCCTAAGAGTTGTAAAAAATTCCATTATAATTGTACACAAGGAGATGGAGAGTTTTGTAATGTTACCCAGTTGTTAACCAGACCGCTTAGAATATTGAATTACAGTGGTCTGTAAATTCTCAGTGACTTGCTAATTGTATATTTTATTAACTCTTACTATTACACTTCTATGGTGCAGAGAAATAGCCCTAAGTTGTAGGTAAATATAAAATTCTTGTTGAGTCAACCAGTATTCACCCAAAAATATAACCACAAAAACCAGCTTTTTACTACTGCCTACCAGGATCAGAGGCTTTTCTTTAGTAATCATACCACTAGGGAAATACCCAGTTTTGAACAGAAGGGAAGGGCATGAAAAATAGGTTACTTTTGTAGAATGAAGCACTCTGCAAGGCAAGGCAGGGTAGGTATGTGTAAGAAACTGTCTTCGAAGGCACAAAGCTACAGGTTAGCTATGCTGATCATCATTAAGAGGGAAAGAAAAAGGACACAAAATAACTGGAGGGAAGAAGGCCCAGGAACAAAGGAAACCATCAGAGGCTTCCTGTCTACACGGCTCCTAGCCGCCAGATCTCAGGCCAGCATAGATTCAGGTGTTTGGAGACTAGCCTGAGAACTATTAAACAGATAAATGTGGTCTCAGGTCAACAGAAAAATGATTCTTTTTGAAAAAAAGGCAGTAGTAAAATGGAGATTGTCTAAATGTACATTTAAGTACTATGTTGCCTAGCATTTAATAAATAGTACTTTTGTTTACTAAAGCACATAATGTGAGTAAAAACAAATGAAGAACTATGGAGTCTGTTTTACTCACGGAGCAGAAGTAAGATGATTATGTACACTCCGACTTTCCTTAAAAAGCATTCTGCAAAAGTTAAAAGGACACAATTATTTTTGTGTAACAGATAATGATAACCACTTTCTCATTTTACTCACATGGTTTTCAACAGTCTATTACTTGCTTATTTATCAAATGGAAGTTATAATGGCACAGAGTAAATTCAGTAATCTGTCTTACAGGGAGTTTTACAGAAGATTTATTTATTTAAATCTTTTAACAGATCAAAAGATGTTTTCTGTTGATTTAACTGGTTGCGACAGCTGCCTATCTTAACATTCTTAACGCTTTATGGTTTAAATTGGACGACTATGCATTTTTGAGACACCACTCTATATTGACTATTGACAACAGAACCCAAGGTTGTGTGTCTCTATTTCTACACTCTCAATTTTGTATTCAGCTCTAGGCTTATCTTCATGATACCTATGTGAAGTCCCCTCCCAAAGTTTATAGCCATCTACCTCTCCACCCATTTTCTCTATTAGCAAAGTCAGGTGCAAAAAAAGAGAAAGTGGTTGGCAAAAAAGTCACCTTTATATGTATCTCTGTATCTCCACGTCCCTGTGACTAACCATTTTGTCTTTTCAGTGCCTGAAGTTTTCAAAGCAGAGATCATCTGAGAGGACTATAGAGAACGCTAAACACACTAGGTTCTTAGCAAAATGAATGTCACATATCTGTCTCTATACATGTATTTTTAAACACAGCAACAATAAGAAAGTAAAATAAAATCTAGGATGTCATATTTCTTACCTTGCCTGCATCCAGCCCTTAGGCCACAATGGTTTCACCTCTGTCTCCATAAAGGATTTAAGATAATCCTCAGCGGACTGGCTTTTATTTGGCTCTAACTCATAGCATCCCAATTTGATCTCAACAAGGTTACATAACAAAGTTCTAAACAGATTAAAAATATATATTTATATATAAATCTGACTGCAAAATTGTGGAAAAGTAAGTTTGAAACAGATTTTTTTAAGCACATAAATCTGCAAGCAATAATAAAGAATATTATCTCAAGAATTCAGATGACATGAAGATAAATAATTTCTAACACACATCACTCATTGCACTACAGCCAAATCCCCAATATGAAACAATTTCCTTTGATACCTTTCATCTAGGCACCAAAGACTGAAAGGGATAGTCCTGCAATCAAACCCTCTATTTGGGGTACAGAAATATTGGTCAAAAAAAATGACCGATTACAGATGTATACAGAGTACTTCACCTTCTGAAGCCAATATGACTGACTTAATAATTAGAAGATTAGTTTATAGAAAGTAGCATATGAAAATAAAAGTGAGAGCACTCTAAAGATAACAGGACCAAATCAAACTTCTCTTGAATAAATTTTTCCTACACACCAATTTTTGGTTGCTGCCAATCTACTCTTCCATTTACTATATATTCTTTTTATTAGAAACCTTAGTTCCTCATTGTCCATTTGGTTAAAAGTGAAGGCTTTGGTTAAATTTTACCTGATGGTGTCATTCCAGTGGAATTTCTTTCTTGGTCCTATGACACGCTTCCCCGGTTTCTCATCATCATCTTCCTCGGATCCATTTTTCTCTCGTTCTTCGTCTGTCTGCAACCTAAAAATGAAAAAGATTTTATGAAGCGAAGTTCTAACCCAACAGTGCCTATGATATGCTCCAGAGACACCTGTTAAATTGCTTAACTGAATGTTAACTCAAAAGGCAGAGTAAATAATCTACCTTTATACATAATATTTTGAAGAGCATCACAAAGTAGTTTGGTAAATTAGGTCTTCAAGCTGTGTCATTTAAGGGCATGATTACTTATCTTTGAGTTCAGAAAATACTGACTTCAGCCAGTTAAATTGGGTGACATGGGAAATACCTGACCAGTGCCAGCTCTTGCTTTCATCACACCCACCCAATAGATCAACAGAACTTTTGCTTTTGACATCAAAGCAACTGAATGGGAAGTGTTGTGTCATTTAGAAAATATTCAATTATACTGTTTCAGTGGCATATGTAGATTTCTATTTGGTGATAAAGTCCACATAAGACCAATCCCTAAGAGCTAAAAATATTTCTCAAATGCAAAAGCCAGTCCAAACAGAAGAGGTACATACTTGGCACACTTAGCTTGACTGCGAGCTTGGCAGTCCTCCTGGTATTTAAATAGCTGTTCAGGCATGACGTTGCTAACAGCCAGTTTCAGTTTTTGCAGAGGTTCTCTTAAACGATCATCCTGAGGGGGGGAAAAATACTACAAGTTTTTTTAAATACATTAACAAAAAATTATTTTGCAAGCAGATTCTCAAAAGACACTAATTACAGATTTAAAATGTAAGCATATTTAAATATGGACATTTCTTCTACAGCACTCAGTCTTCAGGAGGCACACTGGATATAAAATTAGAATGACCATACTTCCCAGGCAGCCAACGAGAATCCTAGTTTGTGCCTGGTAATTACCCCAGCATAATTAATAGTGTTCCTTACACTTGTTTCTTTAAATTTTTTTTTTCTTTAAAAAAAAATTTTTTTTTCAACGTTTATTTATTTTTGGGACAGAGAGAGACAGAGCATGAACGGGCGAGGGGCAGAGAGAGAGGGAGACACAGAATCGGAAACAGGCTCCAGGCTCTGAGCCATCAGCCCAGAGCCCGACGCGGGGCTCGAACTCACAGACCGCGAGATCGTGACCTGGCTGAAGTCGGACGCTTAACCGACTGCGCCACCCAGGCGCCCCTACACTTGTTTCTTTAAAAAAAATGTTTTATTCGAGTAGAGTTGACACGTAACGTATTCCTTTACATTTTTAAAAATGCCCCACGTTTGGCCAAGAAATTATACGGACACTTCAAATGTCATAAAAAATTAAGTAAAGAACAAAATCTACACTATGCAGACTACTACCAGTCGATCCCCATTTTGATGGGGTACCATGAGAGGAGATACTGCTTTGCAACACTAGAACACATAATTTGGTTTGGGTGACAACCGACTGGACGTTGGCATCCTGTTCTTTCGTTTATTGTTACCAATTGTGACTTACGCTGCAAGCAGTTACACGGTCAAGGTCAAAGAGAAAGAGGAAACTGGAAGACTCTTACTGTTTTCATGCATACCAGTTAACAAACATTACTGCACACGTTACAGTGTCTGCTACAAAATCCTATTAAAAGAAATGTGAACGTCCGGTATCAGGGTTCCTAGGTGATCACTTCCTAATTCTGTAGCTGCGACTATCTGCCTGGGAACAACCCACCTATCCATCAGCCGTAAAAAAGACACAATAACTGGGATGTATTAACAGAATGGAGCAGTGTACACACTGTAGAGCAGTACAACTGGAGTCCTCCACAGGTAAAGACATAGCTAAATCTGAGGTACATAATGTTCAGTGTAAAAAAGCAAGCTGCAGAGGAAAAGTATGGAGACAGTATGACTCCATTCATACGGAGCTCAAAAACATGCAAAATCAAATAATATAGTATTTAGGGATTAAAAGTATACATGACAGGGGCGCCTGGGTGACTCAGTCAGGTGAGTGTCCAACTTCAGCTCAGGTCATGATCTCACAGACAGTGGGTTCAAGCTCCGCATCGGGCTCTGCGCTGCCAGCTCGGAGCCTTGAGCCTGCTTCCGATTCTGTGTCTCCCTCTCTCTCTGCCCCTTCCCCGCTCATGCTCTGTCTCTCTCTCTCAAAAAATTAACATTAAAATAAATAAATAAATAAATACATAAATAAATAAATAAAGTATACATGATAAAACCACATGAAGAAAATCAAAGGTTAAGATAGATGTCTTCTTCCACAGGAAGAACAGGAATATTAAATAACCAAACATCAAATCTGAAATGCCCCTTAGAAAATATTTTATAATGTATGAAAAGTTGTTCTCCTGCCTCTAGTTCCTTTTTTCACTGGTACCCATGTCTGTCACCTGAATGTATGGCAGTGAGCTCCAGCAGTCAATGTCTGAAGGAGCCAGGCAAAAACAAAAAAAAGGATTCAGGTCACACAAAATCTGTGACCTCGAGTAAATTTCATTTGTTGATTACTCTGCTTTACGTTGAGAAAGAACTTACAGTTTCTGAATTCAAAAGAGTTATTTTATTAACATTAGTATAATACCTATAATAAAGAATTCTATGCCAATCAGCTCTTAATACTAGTGGTCCTGGGCACCATGTTCATTCCCCCATCAGCTATGGAGGCCCTTGGCCAGCCATGTTGTGCTGTGTGACTCCCAACCTCTGGCCAGAAAAGTTTAGGTTGACCCAACATGGTATAATCAGATTTCCTGATCCAAAAACTTGGATTGGGATGAGAGGGTTGAGTCAGTCTCTGTGTGTGGCCTTTCTATAATATAAAACCTTGAGAATGAAGTAATCTTATTTTCAGAGGCACATAAAAGGATAAAAATAAGACACAGGGAGAGAAAAACAAGAGCTAATCCAAATTATCAGTTCCCATCCCTTTCTGGTTGTTTTTTTGTTTTCTTTTGTTTTGTTTTTGAGAGAGAGAGAAAGAGAGAGTGCGTGTGCACATGAGCAGAGGAGGGGGAAAGAGAGAGGAGGACACAGGACCCAAAGCAGGCTCCGCGCTGACAGCAGAGAGCCCGATGTGGGGTTCAAACTCACGAACTGTGAGATCGTGGCCTGAGCCAAAGTCAGATGTTCAACTGACTGAGCGACCCACGTGCCCCTCGTATGTACTTTTAATTCCATCAAATACCTTTATTAATAGAAAAAAAAATGTCCTTTCTTGTCTTAAACTGCATTATTTCCTATTACTTGCAAGTTACAAATATTTAAAAAATAAATAATCAAATAAATCATAAGGGAAAAATCATCAGGCAGTGAAGGTACTGAAAACCACCTTATATGGAAGTGAAGGAGGGGACATAATACAAGCTTTCAAAAACATGAAAGCCATGAAGGTGACAAATAATTAGGTTTATGAATGGACTCAAAGGTAGAATCAGGACCAATAGGGTGGAAAGCACCTGGATATGTCTCAGTGCACAGAAGAACTTTCTGATATTATAATGAAATAAGTTTCTGACCATTGGAAGCATTCAAACTTAGATAATTACTTGGTGGTGTTTTAGGGGAGAAGAATCTAGCAAAATATGGATGATTACACACAAAAAAATCTCCAAGTTTACACGTAACCCTGTGATTCTTTCTCAGTTTTTGTAACGTAGGCATGAACAAATCTGTACAGATCCATTTCAGTAATAAGAAAACCGAGTTATAAATCTATCAGACATTTGTTGAGGGCAAAGTTGTATCACCTGTGGAACTGACATTAATTTACCAGTCCAGGAATCTACGCCTTAGGAAACATTCTCGTCTAGCCTTTTCAACTGTTGAGAAGTAATTTTTTTCAAGAGATTTTCTATGCCTTTAATAATCTCCTATGGTTATTCAATACATACAATTAAGAGTATAAAGCAACTAATATGCAAAAGCCCCAAATAGAAACTAGTCTCTTTATAGGTTATAAAACTCCAGATACGGATATTATTGTTCCTCTTCTTACCTGGACGTTGAGATGTAACTTCTTTAGACGTTTCACCAGTGTTTCTTTATTGCATGGCACAAAAGCTTCAAGATGGGAGTAGACACCACTACGAATGACAGGGCCTAATTCCTGTAGCTGTAACTCAATGCTGAACAAAAACAACAACAAATAAATAGTACAGAATTTCTTTTAGGTACTAATACATAAGCAAGGAGGTAAAAGCAATGACTCTTCTCTCGTTTTATCTTTCCACGATTTCCTAGACAGTATTTTTCAAGGAAAAAAATATACAGAGAATTTATATAAACATAAGTAGTCTGGTGACTAATTTTTTGATGAACAGGGACAAAGCCTACATTTTTGGGTAAAGCACAGGAACTCCATTATTAACCAAAACCTCATTTCCTCAAAGAGATAGATATTCACATCCCCTCTCCCCCCACCACAATTGCTAAGCTAGAGAGTCACATAGTTTCAATGAGTTCTTAGAATATTTTTTCCTTAGAGGTGTCTGAAAAAATTGCAGATCCAGAAGAGGTAAAGCTCTTCTGGCTACACATACAGACTGTTTTATCCATTTGTCTCCCTTATTATGCCTGCCTTGCACAAATTAGATACTTAATAGTTGGCTCAATTTATTCCAATTCTTCAGTTCCTGTTTCCATTTATAAATTAGTTTTTTAGATCAAAAATAAATTGTTATAAGGGTATTTAGCCTAATAGTTATTTAAAGAAGGGGAAAAAAAAAAAAAAAAGGAAAAGAGTTTTAACAGCCACCATATTCCCAGCTGGACAAGTCTACCACGAAATAACGGAGGTTTCTCCCAAGATGGAAGACACTAAATCTGGCAGCTGCTATTGTAGGAAGATAGGAACAGATGCTAATTTGAAGGCCAAGACTGAACTGGAGCTCTTGGCAACAAACTACATCCAAATCATCACATTCTATGATAGGACAACGTATAGATAGATTTAATAAATAATTCTCATAAATAGATTCAGTTAACAGCTTTTGGGGAAGAAACCCTGCCTATCAAATATATCCATCACTTAGGGGCGCCTGGGTGGCGCAGTCGGTTAAGCGTCCGACTTCAGCCAGGTCACGATCTTGCGGTCTGTGAGTTCGAGCCCCGCGTCGGGCTCTGGGCTGATGGCTCAGAGCCTGGAGCCTGTTTCCGATTCTGTGTCTCCCTCTCTCTCTGCCCCTTCCACGTTCATGCTCTGTCTCTCTCTGTCCCAAAAATAAATAAACGTTGAAAAAAAATTTTTTTTCAAATATATCCATCACTTAGAAGATACACTGCAAGTTCAGAAACAGTGAAATGTGGAAAACTATGCTCTTAGCATTGGCAAGAGAAAACGCGTGGTATTAAAGAAGTCAAATACAATATACAAATAGAAAAATGTTTAGGCTCTATAAGAACCAGAAGGTCAAATGCACAGGATCATATGGGAAACAACCATTACTGTCATGAGTTCTGTGTATAAACATTTGGTTAAATAAATTATGCGTGAAGCTTTATTAAAAGTCTAGACTCTGGGTAGGATGCTTTCTATGCTTGCCCTGTTATTAAACGGTAGTTGAGGCTGAAAATAAAATAGAAACTCCAAGTAGTAAGAGATTTCAATTAAGAATAGATTGACTCAGTGACATACTTAAAAAAATAAGTGGTTTCCAAAGAGGGCGAAACTCGAAAACAGGAAGAACTGACTCCCTGCTGCTAAGCCAATACTAGGGAAAAATCAGAGAAGCATATTAACCCTTAAGGTTACAGACTATACTGGTCTATCACAAATATATACAAAATCCTACCTGACAGCAGTATATTTTAAACACACATCCCTCATACAGTTATTTATTTTTTTTCCTAAGAATTACAATCTTCTAAGGTCTTAAGAAGGATCTGCAGATGACTAAAAACACATGCCAATCAAAGTTTGAATTTCAGGTATTTTCACATTTCAGAAAAATAAAGGTTCTCCCAAAGCAATGAACTTTCCTGAGTCTGACCCCTTCTCTCTACCAGGTTTCTTGTCTTTTCTTTCCTTCTTTATGTAAAGTCTGTCCCCAAAGCAGATATCCATGCAAGAATGTTACAATGACTGGGTCTCAACCCTCTGATAATAAATTATAAGCATGAGATTACTACAGGCTCTAAATGGATAAAAATATACTGGGACCACCTGCTGATAATGCACTGGAGGACAAACACTGGATTTCCTGAGTATATAAGTTTGAAACCCACTTTTATACCCCCATCTGTATGTACAAGGCTCTCATTTGCCTCTGAAGAAGGCTCAAAGAAACACAACATAGGAATCCACAGCTGAAGAAATGGCCAACTTTATAAAAAAGATTCTTCTGGCTCAGGAATGCTTAGTCTTACCTATATTTTCACACAAAATTCTAGAAATACAATCATTTCACCATAACTGATACATAAATAAATCTTCCCATCCCATCAACTCCCTCTTTTTAATAACTGTTTTTTAAGTAAGCTTTACACCCAATGTGGGGCTTGGAATCTTGACCCCAAGACCAAGTCACATGCTCTATCAACTGAGCCAGCCAGGCACCCTTCTCCCTCTTTTTAAAAAACAGAATACAGGGGCTCCTGGGTGGCTCGGTCAGTTAAGCGTCCAACTTTGGTTCAGGTCATGATCTCGCGGTTCCTGAGTTCAAGCTCCATGACGAGGTCTCTGCTAACAGCATGGAGCCTGCTTTGGATCCTCTGTTTTCCTCCCTCTCTCTGCACCTCCCCGGCTCATGCTCTCTCTCAAAAATAAACATTAAAAAAAACCCAACAAAACAGAATACATATCTAAGTCAATCAGTTTAAAAACACTAGTAAAAGAAAACCTAAGTCCAAATAAATTCGGAATCTAGTAAATTTCTTTTTTTCTTTTAATTTTTTACTGTTCATTTATTTTTGAGAGAGAGAGAGAAAGAGCACACGAGCAGGGGAGGGACAGAGAGAGTGGGAGACACACAATCTGAAGCAGGCTCTAGGCTCTGAGCTGTCAGCACAAAGCCCAATGCGGGCTCAAACTCACAAACCATGAGATCGTGACCTGGGCCGAAGTCAGACGCTTAACCGACTGAGCTACCCAGGCGCCCCCGGAATCTAGTAAATTTCTTGAATTTTTCCTCAACTATTTCAGATACTCTACCAATACTATCCATATAACAGAACCACTGAAACTAGTAACTGAAGAAAGACTTAGGGAGCAGTAACCCAAACTGAAAATTGAAAATTTATTTTATAGCAAGAATTCAAAAGATCCCTCCTTCCCTGAATGACTTTATTCAGATGGGCTGGTTCTAGTGTTACCTAAAGAACGCCTGGTGTGGCATAGGTTAAAGATGTGGTTCCAAGTTCGTTTTTCCAAATGCAAAGTAATCCCTCAAGAGAGTTAAGGAAAGCTGTGGCAGAGGATCAACCCCCTCACTTGGTAACTTTCCTTTATGTCAGAGAGGGTGAGACAGACAGACCAACTGATAAGTCTATTCATACTGAGATTCAAAAGTCAATACTCATTCATGAGCTCCTTAAAGGAGCATCTAACAATGAGATGGCAGACAACAGGGCTCACCGCAAGTGTCCACTGGGATTGGTAGTACCTTCCTAGAGCATCTGTTGAACAGAACTCAGGTTGGATTGAGATCACAGGCAAAGAGCATTAAGATGTTAGCAATGTCTGCTTGAGGTAAAGGAGGAAATGGGGAGGATCAAGTCGGCATGCTGTATATTTATTGATCCAAGTCAAACTCAATTAGGCAAAAAGAAAAAGCGTTCCCTATTCCAATAAACTTACCTCCCTTTCTCCCCATCATAAAGAAGCAATGGTGAGGCAGAGCCAATACATGTGAATCATTTCATGGGAATTTACTACTCAAAATAATCACATGCCATATGCCCTTAGAAGATCAACTCAGTCCAAAGAAATCAGGGATATTTAGGAAAGTGGGAACAGAGGCCAGGGGGCATAAATAAGTGACTAAAAGGGAAAAAAAAAAACAAACTCTGAGCACTAGGGCTTGTAGAACTGGAGGCACACTCTGTGAAATAAAAATAGGGCTCCAAAAAAATTACAGGATTTAAGACAGACATGGAGAGATTAAGAGGAGTCTGCTGGGGCTGGTGGGGGCATCTGGCTGGCTCAGTGGGTAGAGCATGCGACTCTTGATCTTGGGGTCGTGAGTTTGACCCCCACATTGGGTGCAGAGATTACTTAAAAAAAGAAAGAAAGAAAGAAAGAGCAAGAAAGAGAGAAGCCTGTTCATGGAATGTTGATATTCTGCTTATTTGAGATGTTAGGTCCCAAGGATGGTCCTTTGTTTCTCTCAGGAGAGAAAAAGAGGGTCCCTCTTACAGAAGAGTAAAATAAAAAACAATGGTCTCAGTCACAGGAAAAGGACCTGCTCTAGTAAACTTAGGGCTCTCAAGTGGCAAGAAAAAGAAGAGCTAGTCAGATTCCTGACTGTGGAATCTGGGACGGCTCTGATGAGTAACGGTTACACTCTTCATTGAATCTGGGGTGAAAAGGGAGCCAGGTAAAAGGATCTGGTGCAGACAGGAAACATTTGCCTTGCTTCCAGGCAGACAGAATCAGTCTGAAAATCCCTGGCTAAAATGAAGAACAGGAACAAGAAATTCCTGTCACCATACCAGTGGCATACTAGGTTAGGTTTTTCACGGGTCCATGAGGGACCAGAAAGATCTTTTAAGTATTCCAGAGAAAAGAGAGATTGTACTTAATTAAAAACAGTTATCAAAACAAACCAATCCATCATCTTTTATATGAGAAACTACCTTCATTGTATATTTAAAAGACAAGCCTCACACACAGTAGTGGAAACACTCCTTGTTTCTTTGTATATAACACTACTGAACCACTAAGAGCAGGCATACATCATTTTCGCGAAAGAGGAGTAACATGTGCTGTTTTCTCCAGGATTGTTTTTTTGCCCAGTTCTGCTTGCAGCAATTAATTACACACTCAAATGCTATAACCAATGGTCAGAATTCACAAGCCGTTAGGTTTATAAGGACAGCTTAGCTGGCCACAAACTTAGAATGTGCAGCTTTGTTAGTATCAAACTCCAGCTGAGAGTAAAAACTGTCACTAATCTCAATACAATCTGTATCATATGTCGGCCTGCAGCCTCCCCCTCCCACTCTTCCCTTTCTCTTCTCCACACTGCCTCTCTCCTACCTCACAACCAGAATTTCTTCTTTCAACCATACTTTCCATTTGTCTCCAAATGTCTGTCTACAACCTTGCTAGATACCAATGGAATTATTTTTCCCAAGTCTGAATGAAAATAGAAGGAAAATATACCAAAATTAATATGACCACTCAGAGCTGTTCCAGAAAGACACTTTCATAGGAAGTGACAAAAAAAATACATTTAAATCTAAAATAGTATTCAACCTGTAAAGTTGTAATCAACTATTGTTTTAAATGAGTTCTTAAAGTTTAAATAATTTTTTAGGTTTTTTAATCAAAGAAGAGAATTACTTACTCCAGAAGAATATTATTCATATCCTGTGTAAAGAATTTTTTCCTTCCTTCTTCATCAAAAAGTTTGGCAGCCTAGAGAAACATAGGATTGTCAATACCGCTTTCAACACATTATTTGTTTCCATATCTATTTAGGAAAGAATAAGCTTCTAAAGGGTAAGGCTACTGTGATTTACTTCCCTTTGGATCATCCATACTCAGTTTAGTACCTGACATGAGTAGGCAATTACAGAGTGTTGAAACAAATTTAGCCTATATACCACTGTTTTCTATTATATCTGTACTTAATTTTTCTCAATCTTTATAAATTAACAAAATTATACATACAAGACTTTAAAAATTTTTTTTCTTGTTTTAATTTTGAGAGAGAGAGAGACAGGGAGACAGAGCATGAGCAGGAGAGGGGCAGACACAGAATCCGAAGCAGGCTCCAGGCTCTGAGCTGTCAGCACGGAGCCCTACGCAGGGCCCGAACCCATGAACCGTGAGATCATGACCTGAGCTGAAGTCAGATGCTCAACTGACTGAGCCACCCAGGCATCCCAAATACAAGATTTTTTCGTGCTTTGAGTATCTTGTGCATTTTGACTATCCATTGCTTTATTAATTACTGCTGTGATCTCCAACATAACAGAAAGCAGATGGCTCACTTTCTACAGACACTGTCTACAGAAGATCTGTCTGATATACTCTATTTTACACACATTATCATGTTTAATCCTCATAACAGCCAATGACATTGGTATGACAGCCCCCATTATACAAACAAGGAACCTAAATCTGTCAGAGGGTTACATGGCATGCCCCCAATCACACTACTTTTTTTTTTTTTTTTAATCCCGCCTCCTTCTCCCTCCCAAATCACACTACTTAATAAGTGGTGGATCCAGGACTCAGACCACAAGCCTTCTGATTTCAATTGTGCAACATGACCATGCCGTACAAAGATACTCAGCTAACTGCAGCCAGTCTAGGTTCTACCTAATTACTAATAACAAAAAAATTTAGCCAAGATTATTATCAAGGGAGAAGCAAATATTAATGCCATGAGCTTAAGAATAATATTTTCATGATTATTGTCACCTTAACCAGGTGCCCAGAAACTAAGGGTACAAACCAAGACACTCTACCATAAGCAAAATTTACTGGGAAAATCACAAAGGATGTAGTTGAGATCCATGAGATGGAAATCAAGAAATCTGATCTAATAATCTGAGCAAGCCATATGCTGACCATGTCAACCCATCAAGTTATTTGACAGTTTTACATGTAATAAATAGAAGAAAATTTCTAAGATGTGCCTTAGTACTTATTAGAAAGAATGAAAACTGCGTATATGCAGCAGGCAGAAATACATGAAAGCTGTAAGGAAAACTAAATGTCAAGAAAGAGAATCAAAAAAAGTCGAGAAGGTGAACAGTGGAAGAATATTACAAAGTAAGAAAAGAGTCATGAGAAGCAACTCCTTATCATACAGACATAAGCATATAAGCCAAGGATGAAATCTCACTTCCTAAAGAAAAAATACCATCTCATATTTCTTTTTTTTAAGTTTATTTATTTACTTTTAGAGAGAGAAAGCATGCACGAGCGGGGGAGGGGCAGAAAGAGATAGAGAGAGAGCAGAGAGAGAGAGAGAATCCCAAGTGGGCTCCGTGCTCTCAGTACAGAGCCCAGACACGCGGCTTGAACTCACGAACCGTGAGATCATGACCTGAGCCAAACTCAAGAGTCGGCTGTTTAACCAACTGAGCCACCCAATCACCCCTCCATCTCATATTTCAAAGAAAAAATAGAAGTCACAGATACCAGTAAGTGAAATCAAACTTCTTATTGATAATTTCCTACCAATGGAACAGATATATTAACCCTGGCAGGGCTACCACAGAGACAATAATTTTTGGTATGGAAGACAATGCTTTTACAAGATCATAACACACTCATTACTAATCAGTTTTGTTTCTTAAGTGAGAATCAACGGCATATAACACAGAGGCACAGTGCCTGCTACAGAGCTCCAGGGTTCTGCCTTCAAATCATGACTCAGACACTTAAAAATTATGTGGCCTTGAGCAAAGCATTTAAACCTTTTGAACCTTGGTTTCCTCGTCCATTAAACGGAAGAACACTACGTACGTCACTGGACTGTGGGAGGACTAGACTGCACAGTAAGTGAAGCACACTGAGCGCAGTCACAGGGCTGCCTCCTGACTGGTAACTGCTCTGGGACACCCAGCAGTACCGTCCGTGCTCAGGACAGAGTACAAGTTTTGCTAAATGAACAGCAGCTATTATTATTAATTACATCTTGAAAAATGTGGATCGCATCACTAAGTACTTTTTCAAATTTAGAAGAAACTAAAGATTTTAGGAATGGGCAAAATGGCAGAGCAAAAAGCCCATACTTTGGATTGTAGTTAAATTTCTACCACTTACTACTTGTGTGGACCTGACCAAGCTATAACCTACCTCAAGTTTCTGAACCATAAAAAAGAAATGAGACCCATACTTCCTACACAGAGTAGCTAAAAAGGTTAAATAAAAAACCCATTTATTGCCGAAACTATAGAAACTGTATACTTTTCAAAAAATAAGCACAGAAAATAGCAAAAGAATGAAAACAAAGGAGGAAGTAATAAAACAGAATAAAAAAGAAAATGACAAAGATCAATTACATAATTATAACAACTAGAAGAAGTTAAAATCATTTGTTAAAGGAAAAAGATTCAAATGAGGTCCAGAAACAAATTTCCATTTTTATGCTGCCTTATAAGAGAAAGAGCTAAAATAAAGAAAATCAAAGAGGTTGAAGGTAAATGATAAGAAAAGCTATACTATGTAAAAATAAAAAGTCCACAGTAAATCAGACAAAACTAAATTCAAGATGAAAGGCATTAATAGCACAAAAAGTCACCTCCAAATGATAATTATCACAAAAAAGATCTAGTCATCAAGAATTTTATGGGTCAAACACCACAGCATAGAAATAAACAAAGCAAAAACTATGGTAAACACAAGCTATAACCTAAGAAACACTAGCAATAAGGGCGCCTGGGTGGCTTAGTTGGTTAAGTGTGAAATTTTCTGCCTCTCTCGCCTGGTCACGCTCTCTCTCTCAAAATAAATAAACATTTTAAAAAGATTTTTAAAAAGAAATATTGGCAATGAGATACTTTAACACACTTCTCTAGGGGCGCCTGGGTGGCTCAGTGGGTTAAGCGTCAGACTTCAGCTCAGGTCATGATCTAGCAGTCCATGAGTTTGAACCCCACATTGGGCTCTGTGCTGACAGCTCAGAGCCTGGAGCCTGCTTTGGATTCTGTGTCTCCCTCTCTCTCTGCCCCTCCCCTGCTCATGTTCTGTCTCTCTCAGTCTCAAAAGTAAATAAAAACATTTTTTAAAAAGTTAAAAAAAAAATAACACACTTCTCTAAGTCCTGGACTAATGAAGTTCATTAAAATAAAATAAGGGTAACTAAATTAACAGGGAATTACAATTAAGTCACAAGTTTAGAAGAAATGCTAAAGAATGAAACAGAAAAAATAACAGAATTACTAAATAAAATCTGTGGGCCAGTTACTGAAAAAATTAGATAAATCTAATTACTCCCCTAATCAGATATTTAAATTTTAGGAGAAGTTAAGAGAAATAAATACAATAAAAAGATTATTAGTAAATTTTAAAACATGACTTAAATTGGATTACACTAATCCTAGGAGAAACAAGTTTTGAACAGTCCATACATTACAATCCCATTAATTATTTTTCATAATAATATAACATTTGCAAATGCATGGATTAAAATCCAAAAAAATACATAGTTAATAGTGGTTACCTCTGTTGGGGGGTGAATGAATGTCAGATTATGGGGAATCTTTCCATATGTATGAAATACATATTTGGTGTTTTGGGGTTTTAATTTATTTTTTTAGTAATCTCTACACCCAACATGGGGCTCAAACTCAAGACTCCGAGATCAGGAGTTGCATGCTTTTCTGACTGAGCCAGTCAGGTGTTCCTGAAATATGTTTTGTATTGTGTGTTTTACTTTTCTAGTCAGGGAAAAAAGGGGACTAAAATATGGCATGGGTTCAAATATGGCACGGGTTCAAATCCTCAAGTAATCAAGAAGGGCATTTTAAGCTAGATTTGGCGTGTTATTTTTAGTCAAAATACTATCTCCTTGAGATTAACTGGGTAAGTGTGATGACATTTATCTGGATTTGCAGCTAGTTAAAGATTATGAATCCAAGCCAATCTAGAGTGGTATCTAATGTGACATGCTAAAACCTCAGCTCTCAAGTACTAGTGGGAACAATGCATGCTTACTAAGGGTGCTGATTAGCTACAAAGGACTAGTTGGAAAATCAACTATAAAAAAACCGGATGTCAATACAGTCTGGACCACGTTCAGGTACACTCCTGCAGTGTTACTATTTGCCCCCACCTTTCCTCTGTTGTGTTTACATGATTTTCTTTTACAATAAAAATTATATTTATGAAAACTGTAAGTTGAAATAATAAAACAATCACCCATATCATGCTATAACTATAGCTACACCTACTTCTACTTAAAATCAAAGGCCTATAGGGGCGCCTGGGTGGCGCAGTCGGTTAAGCGTCCGACTTCAGCCAGGTCACGATCTCGCGGTCCGTGAGTTCAAGCCCCGCGTCAGGCTCTGGGCTGATGGCTCGGAGCCTGGAGCCTGTTTCCGATTCTGTGTCTCCCTCTCTCTCTGCCCCTCCCCCGTTCATGCTCTGTCTCTCTCGGTCCCAAAAATAAATAAATGTTGAAAAAAAAAAATTAAAAAAAAAAAATCAAAGGCCTATAAATATAGCCAATGCCTGAAAGGAAATACAGAAAATTAAAAATTGTTTATATGGGTGTTGGGATTGTGGGTTCATATTTTTGCCTTATAAAAAGCATTTATTGTTATGTTTGTGCGGCAAATAAGAAACAAGGGAATCATTACACTTACTACACGGAGGTCTTCGATGCGTTTTTCAAGAAGGACAGGCAGACCCTCTGGGAGTGTAGGCACCACCTTGGGCATAACCTGAGAGGCATAGGTTGGCTGGGTGGTGTTTCCATTCTCTCCCCCTGACTCAGAGAGGGGGCTACCATCAGAAGCAGCATCCAGTAATCTGTCAAAGTCGAAATCATCTAGCATTTCTAGGGCATTTTCAGCTTCCCGAAATAGTTCATGTTCATTTGTGCCAACAAAAATGGGGAGGTCTGGATCAGCAGTGTTCAGATTTAAGTCCGAGACATCACTTCCCAATGCTACGGCAGTGGAGGGGGTCTTATTCAGAGAGGACGTCGTTAAGTTCACTGGGACTTTGGGGTTAGGCTCCTTCTTCAATGCATCCTTCTCTTTCTGAAATTTTCGTATCATGGCAGCTAGAGAAAGAGAATCTTTATAACGTTTCTTCTTTTTTTCAGACTTGTGTGAATTTAGAGCCACAACTCTGTGAAGAAAAAAGGGGTCAGTTAGGCTGTGTAGGATTTTACTTTAAAGCCCGTGTAAATAAGGAGGCACAGATAATCAAAACGGTCATTTCATGGGTGGGAAAGCAAATTTCTTCTTACATCATCCTTTTACAACAGCACCTTCATCATCATCTGGACTCACTTGGGAAAGGTCAAAAGGCAAATGGCCACCAGAGTGAAGAAAACAAAAGGACAAAAGTCAACAGAAAGAAACAAAACTGAAGGTAACTCAGGATTATTAAAGTCTATGAAGTCAAACTAACTACTCTTTTTGGAATGTTCACATTCTTTAGCACATCTATAAAGTAGTCACCTAAAGAATTAACCAAGTAAAGAAATGCACTTATGAGGTGTGTGGGTGGCTCAGTCGGTTGAGCATCTGACTCTTGATTTCAGCTCAGGTCATGATCTCAGAGTCATGAGATCGAGCCCCGAGTGAGGCTCTGCGCTGGGCATGGAGCAAGCTTAAGATTCTCTCTCTCCCTCTCCCTATGCTCCTTCCCTGCTTCTGTGCAAGTGTGTATGTGCACATGCACGAGAGAGAGAGAGAGAGAGAGAGAGAGAGAGAGAGAGAGAGAGAGAAAGAAGAAAGAAAGAAGGAAGGAAGGAAGGAAGGAAGGAAGGAAGGAAGGAAGGAAGGAAGGAAGGAGGAAGGAAGAAAGAAAAGAGAAAAAAGAAAAAAGAAAAAAGAAAGAGAGAAAGAAATGTACTTGAGAAAACAGAATTGCCTTATAAGTAACCAGAGAAGCTCACACAGTACACCTTCAAACTGGTACCCCAGGTGGTTTGTGCTACAAACTGCCAAAGAAATATAAAATCTTTCTAGACCCTATTCTGCCACTACCTTCTGATCATTTTCACCTTCCATTCTAGGAACAGCCATGTGAGGCAATCACATATGTGTGATTTTCTAGGACAACTTTCTCCCTATAGGAACCATGCGGGAAAGGTGTCTCAGTGTAGTTAACACTTTCTCTAGAAATCTTTTTTACGTTCTATGGCATACACGCTTCTAGGTGCACTACAGAATCGAAACTATCACTTGTGCCTTGAGGGCAGGCCCGGGGTTTAGCTACTGTTATATACTCCGAAACCAGAACAATGCTTAGTATATAAAAGGTATTTAATAAGTGTGTGTTGCATGAATAAGCCACAGATTTCAGAAAATAACAAATTCATTAAAAGGCATTAAAGAAATTTACTTGTAAATAATGAGAATTTAAAACATGCATTAGTAATATATATATGTTTTTTCTTAATTAATGATTCAAGGTTCACTAAAATCTCATGCTTAGGAGAGCATAAATACCTCCCTACATCAAGCTTTTGAATACTGATAGCCCAAAGTTCAGATGTACCTCCCCTGGTGAGGAAGGGAAGAAAATCCAGCCTGTCACAGTTTCTGTCCCTTGGTTCTCCAAAAAAGGGCCATGGAAAAGTAAGACCAACTGGTAATTTTATGGACGTATGTTACAAACATTTCATTCTTATGACTTCAGTCTTTCGAGAAATTCTACTTGGTATTTAGAGGTGATATCATTACCTAAAGTCACAGGTGTTAAAGAAGAGCTAAATAAATGACTTTTTAAATACTAAAACAACTATAAATCATTCACACATAGACTACTGCCAGTCCTCAATCCCCAGGCATCTAATAAGTTTAGTTTTTAAGACAAAAAGATGAAAACAACTTGCTCAACGTTTATACCATCTTTTCAAACTGGTTCTTGTTGGTAAAAAATTTTAACGACCAAAATACTTAATGAACTAATTTGTAAATCTGATCTAAAACACCATGAGTCTCTAAGATGACAAAGCCTTTTATTTTTTAATAAAAACTTATACTTAATACATATTAATATTATTAAAATGTAAGTTAATGGTCATTGACACTTTTAAATATAGTATTAAATTAGTCCCAGCTAAGCTGGGTTAATGAATGCTAAATAGATCTTTCCAAAAGGGCAGCTAGTCATGCTCTGACCCTAGTTCCCTTGGGGTGTTTAATTTTACATACCCCAGTTGTTTGGGGACTTTTTTCCTTGGTTTCTTCTCCTTTTCCCCTTCCTCTTTCCTCTTCCGCTTCTTCATCTCAATATCATCTTCTTTTATTTTGGGAATCTGCAAATGATAAAGAAAGTATCGCTTAACAGAGGATCAATGCTTTACTCGCTAGATTAGTGATCTAGCATCTAGGGCAGTGTTTTTTCTCAAAGTTCAGTGTGCATTAGAAATGCTTGTTAAAAATGCAGACTCGGGGCGCCTGGGTGGCGCAGTCGGTTAAGCGTCCGACTTCAGCCAGGTCACGATCTCGTGGTCCGTGGGTTCGAGCCCCGCGTCAGGCTCTGGGCTGATGGCTCGGAGCCTGGAGCCTGTTTCCGATTCTGTGTCTCCCTCTCTCTCTGCCCCTCCCCCGTTCATGCTCTGTCTCTCTGTCCCAAAAATAAATAAAAAAACGTTGAAAATAAATAAATAAATAAATAAATAAATAACGTTGAAATAAAAATAAAAAAAATAAAAATGCAGACTCTTGGGGTCTATGAGTACTACCTGTTTTTGTTTTTGAGTACTGCCTAGTTTTTAACAAACATTTTGGTGATTCTGGCACAAGTCAGTCTTTGGATCACGCTTCAAGAAACACCTAAGGACACACTATTCACTTCCTAAAACCATATATATCTTAAATAGAATTAGCTGTCTCAGGAAAGCTAATGTCTACACCAAGTCTTAACCTATCCTAGAAACTTACCCTTATCCCCCAAACAGTAGATTATTATACCACATATGGAGAGAGAAGTCTTAAAAGAAAATACAATTACATATGATGTAAATATCAATTTTTCCCTTTATCTACATAGCTTTACTTCAAAGCAGGTAAATAACTACAGATTTATTAAACAATGGTTAGCATTTTACTTTTTCTCATATCCACAAGTAAATTCAAAAAGTATACCGTATTTACTGAACACTCTCATTACCATTGCAGTGTTGGATAAACTCACTTTGGGGGGCTTGTGCTTTTGGTTGTCTGTAATATCTTCTTCTTCAGTATCTGAAGCTTGGCGAAACTGCAGAGTGCCAGTGTTGATGTAAAAGCCTCCATATTTTGTTGTTAGAGAAGCAGGAACTAATTCGTCATACTATATTTAAAATAAAATGTTTCAGATATATCCCATTATTAATTCTACAAGTACATCAAAGAAATCCATAAATCCTAACTACAAAACTGACTGCAATGAGGATGTTTGTGGAATAAATTTAGAAAAAGTTAGTATCTAGGATAAAAATGAGCCCAGAGTACTCAGTATATATATATAAAGAAAGGAAATTCTGGAATAATGAAGCAAATCCTCAGTATATCCATCATCTGCTGAGAAAAATTTAAGGATCACTGCTACTATTCTTAATGACAAATTTTTTTTTCAAACCTTTATTTATTTTTTAGGTGATCTCTATGCCCATTGTGGGGCTCGAACTCGCCACCCAGAGATCAAGAGTCGTATGCTCTACTGACTGAGCCAGGCAGGTGCCCCAAAGACAAATGATTCTGATGAGAAATTGAAACAAGTTAAAATAGATGACTAAACATACAGAAAAGGAATAAATTTCATTTCCTACCATATCAGTATATAATTTTATTCATAAGATTATAAATAACAAAGTTATTTCTTATGTCTTAGCTCTAAGCTTTTAAATGAAGAAAATTGTTTAAAAGTTTAAAACATAAAATAACATATGTGTTTAAAAACGCAACAGAAAAATAACTGCCCAGTTCAGTAAGCATACACTATAATGAGCCAGGTACTTTGCCTGGATCAAGAGATGCAAATTGTCTAAATTAGATAGAAGGTCTGACCTAAAATAACACTTAAGCTGATGTCCTCTAAGCTTGGATTTTTAAAGTTTATCATTTCTCACCTGATGAAAATGGACAAAAGCAAACATTAAATGAGGGTCAATCTTAACCAAATGATGGGAGTCCATAGTGGCTGAGAAAAAAGGAGCGAGTTACTTATCTAATAGAAGCAAGATACCTGCTACCTAAGGTCCCCAGAACTCTACTTTATAGGTTCTTCATATTTTATATTTTTAAGAAAGGCAGATTTTAAGCAGATCCTTTGCACTGGACAAGGAATATAGGGAATGTACTAGTTACTGTAAGAACATTAAGGCTACATGCAAAAGTTTTTGCTTTTAACCTGTATCCTTTTAAATTAAATGGTAAATAGAAAAAGAATTTCCAGTTTAATCATACTGAGTCAAAAAAAGGAATGAATCCCTTTCCTGTTGCTTCAGTTGACGGGCTACTATAAAGATCTATGGGTAAGACCTTCAGAAAGGGTCCGGTACTATCTGTAAGCAAAGGAGTGAAGAGAAAGAATTAGAAGTGAAAAGACTTTGTAGTAATTATTTTGGAAATGTGTAACTGTGACAAACATTACTTTTTGCTTACACTGCTTTATAATTTACAATGCTTCTTCATATAAATTATTTCACTTGGCCCTCCTGATACCTTTGTGAGGCAAAAAAGGCGTTTTATAAGTGAAAACCAAATTTAGAGAGGATAAGAACCCCCAGAGTAATTTTATAAGCTTATGGTAGAGGCTCTGGCTGTATCCCAAACCATCCACTACATCATGCAGTGGGAAACACATTCATCACCACGTTACATAGCAACATGGGTGTGTTCAACATCGGTCTGCTGCAGTGTTTCCTAAGCTCTCCCTATCAGAACACTCTCCAGGAGAACAAGCTCTTTATGCATATTTAATTTAGCCGTCCGAGTAGAATGTGTTAAGAGGCAATGGAACGCTGAACTTGAGAATCAGAAGGCCTGGATTTAGATCCTTTGCCAATGATTAGCAATTGTGACCCAGAGGAAATCACTTAACATGGATATCTTGGAGTTGTCTAACAGTGACAACATCACTTATTTCACAACGTTCTAGTGAAATTTACAAGAGACAAACTAAATAAAAGTGTTATTCATGCCTGGTATTATTATTTATTAGTAAATAAAGAAAAACATTTTCTTTCAGTCTTCACAAAACGTGGCAGCATAAGTGAGACTAAAAATAATCTTTAAAAGCATTTATTTTCAGGTATTTATAAGTGGTACATGATTCTGAAAATTAATTAGAACCAGATTATTTTCACTATCAAATAATTACAAACAGTGAAAGCTTACAATCAATGAAAAGAACAGAAAATCATTTGGTTGGATAATAATTGTCTTATGTCTGAATTATCTCATAAGGACCCAATAATCTGTAAGAATAACAATACAAAATTATTTTGCGAGTCAATAAACAACCTGTAATCTAGTTCAATTTCCTCTTACTAAACAGGAACCTACCTTGTCCTCTAAATGTCAGCAACTAATAAAATAATTTTTGTTCAACAACTTTTACATACAAAACTTACCCTTATTTATTAAGGCAGTACTTTTCAAATTTTTTTCACCACAACCCAAGTGGGAAATATGTTACACATCAAATCCCAGTGTGTACACACACACATAAAAAAAACTCACATAATCTACTATGATTTACTATGATAGCTCCTATTCTATTCTACTTCACTTTTGTTAAAAATGCTGGCCACACTCTCTAAAGTGATATGTAATCCAATTATGGGTTGCAAAAGTCAGTATGAAAAACACCATATTCAAATATTCTGACTGTAGCAGAGAAAACTGAGCAATGCTAAAAGATTTGTCTAGAAATCTTTAGAAACCGAGTTGAGTCTAGAATCTAGGAATTTTGACTTGTATTTCAAATCAAGGTCAAGACTTTTAAAAACATCCCATGCCCTAATCTACAAAAAGGTTTGTCAACCTTTCTGGTAATAAGAAGGCTTCTCTACTCCAAAGGGCATTGCCAAATTTTACTCCTATAGAACAGGCTGCCTGGTATGGTAAACCAGTTTATGTCAGAACACTGAAACAACTCAGGGTATCCAGTATGCCTCCTGCTGGAAGTTCTATGATTCTCCTACCACTATATGCCTTATCATCATCTATACAACCAAGCACTGTAGTAACAGGAAAAAGAAATACTAATTTGTGGGTAGTACTACAATGTTTACCTTGGTGTCCCTTTCTGTGTATTCTAAGTAATCACTGAACAATGCAGAGGATGCCATAAGTCCAGGGTTTGTTTAGATTTCTCCAGTGCACTGAGAAGAATGTAAGAACATACACCTTACCTACCCCCAAACACAATATGCCTGCATTTGTTTGCTATGTGATCAATGGATTGTTATAGTCCTTAAATGCTCTCCTAAATTCCTCTTCATTTTATAAAAGAAAGAAGATTCCAGGGAAAAAGCTGTAGGGCTTGGAACAAAACAGATAGGGTTTGATAAAGGCTGGCATTCAATCACCACCACTGTACTAAGGCTTGGCAGTAATGAAAAAATGAAGCACATTTTAAAGATGCCTGCCAGATTAACTTCAACCCAGCAGCTCCAATCTTCAAATTCATATGGGTCTCATCTGGAAGCCATTTGAAATTACACCTACCCAAGTCTGGGAATATCAATACAAATTCAAGATGTAAATACCCTTAATGAATAAACCCCACTGCTAGAAATTTATCCTGTACATACATTTGCACTCTCTAATGATCTTACATAGTTATTCAAGTACACAAAGATAAACGTACACAGATGCTCAGCTGTTCATAAGCACATAAAAAAGTAGAAACAATTTAGATGGACATCAATAGGGGATTAGTTAGTAAAAACAAATACTGAACTATTTTAGTAACTTTATCCTTGACTTCTATCCCAAACAAAGAATTGCTGCTATATTAAAGATACATTACTCACAGCCTCTGAGTTATCAATAAATGGGTCTGTCTCATCATAGCCAAAGCCTATATCAATTAAATCTTGTAGCCGATCCTTCCGGTGTTTACGGGGTTTCCCACCCTGCAAAGAACAGATACGTTAGACTGATATCAGTACTCATGCGGTTTCCATAAACTTTAAAAGTACCTATCAGAAGAACTCTAAATAATTTCTGTAGATAATCCCCCCTCCAAGAAGTTGAATTGAAATCCCCCACCCTTTGAATATAAGTTGTGCTGAGGGACTTGCTCCCAAAGAATAGAGTATGAAAGTGAGGAGACTAATTATAGTGAAAACCTGGCCAACATGACCTCGGCCAGGTGATCAAGTTCAACATCAACACGGTAAGTCATGTTGATAGCATGTACTCTTGATACGATATGATAAAAATGGCACCTTTGTGGTCTTCTCTCAAAAGCCTATAATCCGAGCTATAGGTTCATCATGAGAAAAACAACAAACAAACTAAACTATGTCCCATTAAGGGATATTCTACAAATAACTAACCAGGATTCCTCAAACTATGAAGATAATTAAAAACAAGGGAAAATCTGAAAAACTGTCAGAGTTTAGATGAGTCTAAAGAGATGTAATGACTAAATGTGATGTAGTATCCTGCATGGGATCCAGGAACTAAAAAAGGGCACTAGGGGAAAACTAGTAAAATCTGAATAAAATGTGGAGTTTAATTAATAGTAATATACCAAAGTAGGTTTGTTAGCTGTAACAAATCTACTGTATAGATATCATCATTCATAATATGTCATAGGAGAGAGTGGGTGAGAACTATATGGGAAGCCTTTATTATCTCTGCAACTTTTCTGTAAATCCAAACTATTCTTAAAATTATTTTTTTAAACACCACAGGAATTGGCTCAGAGCCTGGAGCCTGTTTCTGATTCTGTGTCTCCCTCTCTCTCTGCCCCTCCCCCGTTCATGCTCTGTCTCTCTCTGTCCCAAAAATAAATAAACGTTGAAAAAAAAAAAATTTAAACACCACAGGATTATACACATCGGACATACAAGAAAATGAAACACGAGTGCATGCAAAAACCGGTGAGTGTGAATAAGGACTGAAGGCTCGTTAATTGTAGTGTGCCAATGTCAATCTTCTAGTCTTGATAACTCTAGTTATGTAAGATATTACCACTGGGAGAAACTGGGTGATTGGTACAAGGGACCTCTCTGTATTGTGTGTGCAACTTCATGTGAGTCTACAATCTCTTCAAATAAAAAGTATTTTAGGGACACCTGGCTGGCTCAGTCAGCAGAGTGAATGACTCTTGTTTGTTTGGGTTTTTTTGTTATTGTTTTATTTGAGAGAGTAAGGGACAGAAGATCTGAAGCTAGCTCTGTCCTGACAACAGTGAGCCTGATGTGGGCTTTAACTCAAGAACCTCGAGATCATGACCTGAGCCCAAGTCGGTTGCTCAACCAGCTGAGGCACCCAGGAGCCCAGAGCTTATGACTCTTGATCTCTGGATTGTGAGTTCGAGCCCTACGTTAGGTATAGAGATTACTTAAATAAACAAACAAACAAAAAAAAGAAAACAAAAACAAAAAAAATTTTTTTCTTGAAAGAAAAAAAATGTTTTTTTAAAGTAAAACAACAACAAAATAAAAAGAACCAGTTAGTATACATTCCATTATTCATGTCATACTTTCAGGAGGTTTTAACTGGTTGATTACAGTTATAAAGAAAACATTCTACGTAAGGTATAAATGGTACATGTACGGTAAATGGTATAGATAAGCTTGTTTTAAGGAGTTTAAGTGGACAGAAAACCTAATACTATTGTGGCACTGCTGAAACAAGTGTTTAGTTTAGTCTCCAAAACTCATTTTAGATATTCAACCATACTCACTCAAATTTAACTACTCTAAGTATCATCCTAACACCTCCATGACCCCTGATTTTTTTACTGAAGTGGGTCATGAGTGAGAAGATGCTCAGAAAGAGGAGAGAAAACACTAAGTGGTAAGGATTCTGCCTAACATGCTACCACTGAGCCAGAGTAAGTCCAGCAGAAAGCATGGGATGCAAGATGTAAATCTCTTATTCGGTTTCAATTCTCAGTGAATAGCTCTCAATGGAAAGTGTGATTCTAACAGTGAAAGATGGATAAGTTTTGTGCAACACTGCCCTTAAACAAAAGCAAACTGCTCTAGCTTATTTCCACGCAAAGAAATAATCTATTCCAGTGATTCAGGGAAAAAATGGTTATGCTGGACTTGCTGAGAAGTCACCAACATGGTGACATCCTTTTCTAAGTAATTTGTAAAAGTAATCCTGATTCAATGTTATATTTTTATTACACCCAGATGTTAAAAAACCGAACCCCCATAAGCTGTAACTTCATTGTATGCTTTTCGGTGACCAAAACAGCCCTGTTACTATACCACTACCGCCAAGAAAGTCATTACAGTGTGAGATAAAGTAGCAGTTCCCGTATTTTTAGATTTTTACAATTAGGTAAATTTTAAAAACAATTTTGGGGACCAACACAAGGTGGCAACCCTTCTCCCCCCGCCAACCCCCAAATAAAGCCATTATAGGGCATAATCTCAGAACAACAAAAATCCTTCTCAAGAAATACTAGTTCGCAGGGGCGCCTGGGTGGCTCAGTTCAGCGTCCAACTGCGGCTCAGGTCATGATCTCACAGTTTGTGGGTTCAAGCCCCGCATCAGGTTTTGTGCTGACACCTCAGAGCCTGGAGCCTGCTTCGGATTCTGTGTCTCCCTCTCACTCTGCCCCTTCCCTGCTGGCTCTCTCTCTCTCAAAAATAAATAAAAACATTTAAATTTTTTTTAAAAAAAGAAAATCAAAGGAAATACTAGTTGACATTAAACATATACACACATAACATATATATATATATATATATATATATACACACACATACACACATATACACAGCATGTGTGTGCTTATATACGACACATGTAATAAATGGTTCTTATTTTTTTCCATTTGCCAGGTCTGCAAACTGGGACCCTTACAACTAGTTTATAGAACTACAGTTAGAAGCAGAAGTTAAAAAAAAAAAAAAAAAAAGACAAACAGAATGAGGTATTTCTAGGATAGTTACATACATGCAATTAAGCATGAGGGACTATTTCACCCAAAAACCAGAGAGAACTCTAAAGAGAATATAAAAATGCACAGATACATGAAAACTAATATAAAAATATACTATATTTTTATACTATATAAAAAATATAAAAACAAATGAAGAATATTAACCCTGTTACATATTAAATATATTTAAAGTTATGAGAGTTAACAACATAATAAAGGCCATATATGATAAACCTACAGTTACCATCATATTCAGTGGGAAAATATGGAGACCTTTACCCTAAGGTCAGGAACAAGATAAGGAAGTTCACACTCACCACTTTTACTCAACATAGTACTGGAAGTCCTAGCCACAGCAATCAGAGAAGAAAAAGGAATAAAAAGCATCCAAATCAGTAAGAAGTAAAACTTTCACTATCTGTAGATGGTATGACACCACATATAGAAAACCCCAAAGACTCCACCAAAAAACGACTAGACCTAATAAACTAATTTAGTAAGGTCTCAGGATACAAAATCAACTTACAGAAATATACTGCATTTCTATACACTAATAATGAAGCAGCATAAAGAGAAATTAAGAAAACAATCTCATTTACAATTGCATCAAAAATAATAAAATACCAAAGAATAAACTTAACCAAGGAGGTAAAAGACCCATACTCTGGAAACTATAAAACACTGATGAAAGACACTGAAGATGACACAAATGAAAAGATATGCCTTGCTCATGGACTAGAAGAACAAGTATTGTTAAAATGTCCATACTACCCAAAGCAATCTACAGATTTAATACAATTCCTTTCAAAATACCAAAAATATGTTTCACAGAACTACAGTAAACAATCCTATAATTTGCATGGAACCACAAAAGACTCTGAATGGCCAAAGCAATCTTGAGAAAGAAAAACAAAGCTGGAGGTATCACAATCCCAGATTTCAAGTTATACTACAAAGCTGTACTGATCAAAACAGTATGGTACTGGCACAAAAACAGACACATAGATCACTGGAACAGGATACAAAGCCCAGGAAAAAATCTCACAATTATGTGACCAATAATCTTCAACAAAGGAGGCAAGAATATGCGGTGGGAAAAAGTCTCTTCAACAAATGATACTGGGAAAACTGGACAGCAATATGCAAAAGAATAAAGCCGGACCACTTTCTTACACCATACACAAAAATAAACTCTAAATGGATCACAGACCTAAATGTGAGAGCTGAAATCTTAAAATCCTAGAAGACAGCACAGGCAGTAGGTCTCTGACATTGTCCATAGTAGCATTTTTCTAGATATGTCTTCTGAGACAAGGGCAACAAAAGCAAAGATAAAATACTGGGACTACATCAAAATTAAAAGCTTCTGCATAGCCAAGGAAACAATCAACAAAACAAAACAAAAAACAACCTACTGAATGGGAGAAGATATTTGCAAATGAAATTATACAACTCAACACCATAAATAAATAAACAAACAAACAAATAAATAAATAAAACAAATAATCCAATTAAAAAATAGGCAGATGACACGAACAGACATTTCTCCAAAGAAAACATCAAGATGGCCAACAAACACGTGAAAAGATGCTCAACATCACTCATCGTCGGGGAAATGCATATCAAAACCACAATGAGATATCACCTCACACCTGTCAGGATGGCTAAAATCAAAAACACAAGAAACAACAAGTGTTGGCGAGGGTGTGGAGAGAAAAGAACCCTTGTGCACTATTGGTGGGAATGCAAACTGGTACAGACACTGTGGAAAAGAGTATGGGGGCTACTCAAAAAATTAAAAGTAGAATTACCATATGACCCAGCAATTCCACTACTGGGTATTTACCTAAAGAACATGAAAACATTAATTCAAAAAGATGTATGCACCCCTATGCCTACTGCAGCATTATTTACAATAGCCAAATTATGGAAGCAGTCCAAGTGTCCAATGACAGATGAATGGATAAAGAAGATGTAGAGAGTGCGTGTGTGTGTGTGTGT